GGTGCCAACGGTGACAGCAAAGGGGGGCGGGGGGGGGGGGGGGGGGCTGGAGGAGTGGGGACTTGGAGGGGGGCAGGATTTCTGCCAGCCTTGCGTGGAAGCAATTATCGCTCGTAGGTGAAAAATCCGCTCTTAGGTAGGGAGAAGAATTGTACCCAAGAATCAATATTGGAAGAGGTCATCTTTTCCACATCGCTTAGCCTCTGAGGATTACTGATGCGCAGCTCTGTGTTTTGAGCCTTCACAAGCCATTTTTCTTTTCTCTGGGACGACTGAGGTATTGTGCTGCTTTCAGCCTCATTCCCCGCACAGAACGACAGCTTCTCCATGAAGACACAAAGCTGCTGCACATCCATGCCGAAGACCCAGAAGCATGCTTGATGTCATTTTAATCCTGATGCAGTGTAGGGTAAGAGACTTTTCCCCCTTTTTAATTCAGCACAACAGTTTAGAACAATGTCTGCATGGAGAAATGTTTCTGTGCCTCAGCCCCCGTGCTGTAATCGTAACGCAACAATTTTCACACCACATTTCAGCTAAAGGTACTGGTATGTGTAATGTTTCCGTTCTAGAAGATCCGGAGTTTCAGAAATCAGTTTGAAAAGTGCCATGAATTTCTTTTTCATGTGATCCATTAAGACTTTTCTAGAATGGACAAGAGAACTAATCAACACACATCATGCACACACTACTATACACTCAGTTGTGCCTATTTCTTTTTCTTTTTTTAAATGGGGGCTTTAATTTTTGGAGATTCACATGCTTTTTTAAAAGAAATCCCTCCGTTTGTATGAGGGAAGGTGATTATGTAATTGAAAATATCCACAGGGAAAAAACACGAACATCTCTTTGCAAAGCAAAATTGCAGCTTTTGGTGAAACTGAGAAGTATCGATGTTAACTAAATGTCAGCAAATCTAAATTACAAAGGACAGGCTAACGCAGTAGACCCCAGGAAATCCTATTGACTTGCTGAACACAAACACTGGTGCACTTCAATCAAGACGGATTCTTTTCTCTTTACTTATAATCTTGTACAAAGTACTTTAAATGACAAATTGAATGTTATTCTTTGTTTCTGCAGTATGGTGAAAACATTTTCTGTCTTTGCAGATAACTACCAGGATTCTGGTCAGGTTATCTGCTACCAAGATGGGCACAACAGTCATCACTATAGAAGAAGTGAAGCAACTGGAAGAGAAGGGGGAGAAAGAGGAGTCAGTACTAGCCATGCTTGGGATCATTGGGACTGTGCTCAATCTCTTTGTCATTGTGTTTGTCTACATCTACACGACGCTGTGAGGACCAGCCCCGCGCCAAAGACGCAACCCTACTGTCTCGTCTGTTGGGTCAAACGGGCTCATAACAAAAGGCAGAGCCAGCATGCGTTAAAGGCCATTCATCAGCTGGTGTCCCCCGAGCAGCTGCAGAGAGCACCATGGAAATCACAGTCCTGAGACCAGCCAGACGGTTCAACTGCCCGACGCAGAGCTCTACAGCGTGGAGAAGATATTCAGCTTGCAAGGTCTTGGGGCCAGGCTATAAGCAACAAAACTGCGTTGAAAAGACTGGCTGTGGATCAGACAGAAACGACTGCTTTTGTAAGAGAAACTGAAGCCTCCTGAAGCCCATCCTACAGGTTCACATCACTCTGTTTCATAAAAATGCAAGGAGAAGAGGAGCAACACAAGTGACAAGGTCACTGTTCTGAATAAACCATGTTAAGACTGAAGAAAGTGGACAAGACCAGCCAGTTCTGTAATTAAAAAACAATACATATCCACTGAATGTCAAACCTTCTCTGGAGTACTGGTCCGCCAACACAGAATTTTATAGCATTACAGATCATATTTTTACTGACTTGCAGATAGCTCATTACTTAATTTCTCAGAAAGCAGAGATGCCCTGATACTTGACTACAGGCTTACCTATAAGTTCAACTCTAGCGTTTTGAAAATGACAACTGGAGGATGACAGTTTCTATTTACATGACATTTTACCAGTGATATAACTTAAAAAAAGAGAAGAAAGCTGCCAAAACTTAAGCTGTTGTTCTTGATTTTCCTAATTCTTCAAGACCAGACACAAAAGAGAGGTCTGCAATAATAAAATAAATATATTTTTATAATGAAAAGCACTGTAAATTATGTAAAAGGGGGATAAAATGTGCTATTTGAGCCTTTCGGATTGCATCACTTTGCCATTACCAATGCAGGTTACTGTACTAATAAGTGTACTATTTGCAATTACACAGTATAATCAGTTTGATCAAACTAATGTATATTTTCAGAACAGTATAAATACTAAATGTCTGTATAAAGATGAGGATAGACAGCTGTTTCTATATTGAAACCTAGAAGATAGAAGGACGGAGAGAAAATGTGAAGGAGGTGGAAAAAGCAATCTGTGAGAATTAAAAACACAGGGAAATGTGGAGTTCAGCAGCACTTTATAAAGGGGTTATAAACTTGATGTATCAGTGGACAAGAATTTATATCAGAATAAGGGGACCTCTTCAGTCACTACAGTACATCACAAAATACATTTTATAGTGTCTAAAGCTCCAATATATGAGCATTGACTATGGCCATTTTTTTGCATACATTATTTTGAGCTGGGAAGTAATAAGGCACACCCAATTTAAAAAGCTTACATTTTTTTTTAATTTACAAATAATTAATACAGAATAGAAACATTAATAATTGTTAGTGCTTTATTTTAGATTGGTTTGAGTAATCAGAGATTTCTTCAAAGAGCCATATTATACCACAACATGAATCCACATGAAGTGCATTAATAAAACCCTTTAAGAGGTGGTATGTTAAGAAGCAGTGTTTTTAAGGCAGGCGACTTATACACTGCAGTGATAAACCTGCTTTCCTTTGTGTATAATGCGACTGCCTGTACCCATGTCTTAACAATGAAAAATTGTATTTATCAGCTTCTTCTGAGTCACATGTAAAAATAAATCTTTATTAAAATCTTCATAGGTGATACAGAATGAGCTTGTGTAACCAGATTAAGCTCCTGTTTAACTCTCAAAGGTTTTGTTTTCCATACAGGTCTTAATGGGGAGAAATGCAGATACCCTGTACACACACGCATACATAAACATAAAATCATTCAGACCTTCAAGTTGTAGTGATAGTCAATAAGAACAAAGGCAATGGAAAGTCATGAGATGTGACATCAGTTAAAACTGTGGTTTTGTATCCTACTCCATGGTTTTCCAGCTGTTTTTCAAACTATCACTAAGCAGTCTTCTTCTGCAGTTACCAGTTATGTGCACTGTGGTATCAGACACCTCTGTGATCAAGTCTGCAGCCAGCAAAGTGGTACCCCTGAGCTAAAGTAAAGCTTCAACAGACAGGAGTTAAGCAGGGAGGTGGGAGGTGATAAATGCATCAAGAGCAAAGAGGCAAGGTTAAAGCTTAATCTCTGGCTGCTCAAAGATCAGAGCATTTGTTGAACTCAACTTTTAGGGTACCCTAGGCAGCCTATTTCTACCTGTGGCTGGAAGACGTTTTCCAGTTCTCCTCATCTGCTACACATCCAGTCCAAAACAAAACGCAACTAGGCTCCAAGACAACCGTGGATGTTTAATATAATTTGGTAAATGCGATACACAAGCACATTGTTAGCAGATTAATTCACTGTTAAACAGTGCTATTTAGTATCATTTCAACTGACCAAATAACTGGCACGCAGCAAGAGACCACCTATTACCAGTGAAAGAGGAGGGCTGGGTGGTGTGGTGGTTACCCTCACGACTCCAGGGGGTTTGATTCCAGCCAGGGGGCATCTGTCTGTGAGGAGTTGGCTTGATCACCCTGTGCTACATGGATTGGATTCCTCCCAAACAGGCTGAGCAGAGAATGACTGTCTACTTTAAACTGACCACTCCATGTGGGAGGGACCCCAGGCACCGTGATCTGTGAAAATCACATTAATCTAAACAGGCCCAGGAATCACAACAACAGATGCAAAAGCACTGCAGTATATACTAAATTGTCACAGGATGAAGCAGTAGCTCTCCTTGAAGGTTGCACTATGTGGTTTACAAAATAAATAATATTAACTAATCTGTCTGATGTCACATAAGACTAAGGATTATGCCTTGCTCTGAAAGAGGATTATAATTAAGTGAAATTATTAATATCCCCAATTCAAGATTACTAATTTGCTAAATGCTAATGACATTGCACTGAAATAAATGGTTGCCAGCAATAGCATCTGCACAATATTGCCGTAGCTCTTTTGACAAAGTGTTGTCTTTGTTTTATGATGGCAAAACTAGGCTCTCTCTAATTGCCATTCCATTTTACAGGCTGTCCTACTTTGCTTTTTTATTAAAACTATAGGTCTACATGAAAATTTCAATTAAAATAAATGAGCTTCAGAGTGACATTAAAAGGCACTGCCTTTCAGAAGCACTGCTGTCTAATGGCATAACTGTTTCAAGGATAGAATATGTAACGATATCGTTATATCCCACATGGACTGCCAAGTTACTGGTAATTAACGAGGGGCAATAATTCAATTTAATATTTTCGAGATTAATGTAAAATATTAACAGCCTTCTGAAAATGTGTCAGATGCGAAATGAGCGACATTAAGCGCAAACCCACGTCACAATTTCAATTACATTCCTCAGCATACAACAGCTGGGGGAAAGTGCTCCTAATATACAGCAAAGGGAACAAAATGGCAGGCTGATTTTTAACTATTCACCACATATGAACAGATGTGGCAAAACACCTTTTCCACATATATTATCTTGTATTTTTTAAGCGCTCCATAAACTCTGGAAGACCTCCCATCAATGGAGGCTTGAGGTACCCAGTAAATGTTTCCTGAGCTTTGAAAAAACCTATTAAGAGAAAAGGTTACTAAGGTCTTTTTCAGACTCTGCACTTGGCACACTTTGAAAACTGAACTTCTGTTTCTTCAATTACTGCTCCCAGGTGCTGCTCTTTACAATGTAGGGATGAGCATTCTAAGCAGAGACCAATGTTCGGTCTGATGAAGAAAGAGACCTTTGAAACTTGCCTTTTGCGCAGATTTAAAGGTCACCATTTTGCACAGCGGCTTCCCTTGAAAAAGGGGACCCGAGTGCTATTTCGAGAAACAGCAGTGTCTCAAATATTTTAATACTTAAAAACTAACTTTATCATAAGGTTCTTCCCCCCTCCACAGCTTCAATTGTAATTTAAAAAATTTAAAGATAATAAAAACGATCATTTTAAACTTTAATGTTATGAACTAAAGCTCCGATATATATTCTCTTGATAACATCAGTTTAAATTATAATGGCTTTAGTTCAAGGGTGTTATGCAAACCTATCATTAGACGGCATTAGTCCCTTAGAATGGATGGTTAAACTTCAATCAGCAGAGGAATGCAGCTGTGTCGGCTGCATGTGGTTTGATCAGGAGCAATTGTTACAGTACAGCTGTCTCTCAATCATCAATGCTAAACACCTACAGTAAGAGAGAAAGCCATAGGAGAGAGTGTAAGAACTCACAAAGAACCAAGCAACCTCAAATCCTCCACAGCAATCTACTGCTGCTGGATTAGGCCACCTGGGACTGTCAGATGTACGAAGACGAAGGTGAAGAGAGCATTAATCATGGAACATGCAGGTACGTTCCAATTTCAAAGTTGAAAAGTCAGACTTGAAAGCAAGATTGCAGATGGCTTTGAAGATCACTAAATATGCCCGTCACATGCAGCTGAGATCTGAAGGTGGAACTATTTAATCCTGAATGAAGGGAGACGGTGGGAAAAGCCGTACATGTGCACAAAAGTCATAAAGTGTGTCAAATATTTGCAAAACAAAAATAGGGGAAAAACTAAAAAAGAAACTCTAGATTAACAGGATACCACTATAATATAGCCTATACTATAATTAGGCTTCCAAGCACAGATATAGTGTTTAAAAGGATTTGGTTTACTATTTAAAATTTTTCTTCCCAAACAGGCCCAGGTGAAAAAGTAGATAGTGGATCTCTTCCAAACTTGCCGGCTATGAAGTGATGGCAATGATTAAGGGACAGTTACATCTTCAACAACAACAACAACAACAACAACAACAGCATTTCTTAAGTTTAGAAACAGACTAAATAAACAGATCAACATTAGTTGACTAGTTATTAAAATACCACATTCATGTGCTTTGAAGAGCTCTTTACACTTCTGTTTAAATCTAGATTCAGTACCAGGATTACTATTTATGTTTCTGATTGAAGCTCGTATAACACAGCACAACACTGTTCATTTAACTAAGGGCAAGAAAATAAAACACTCCAATCTAAAAAGAAAAAAAAACTATGAAAGCTATCTCAAAAGTGAGGGAGGAATTCCTTAATAATGTTCACAGGCAGGAACTGCAGATTTTGGAGATTGTGAGGCTGGAAATGTGAGGTAGAAGTGTGAAAATATCATCACGTTTTCTTTTGGCAGGAAAGGGCTTTCACGAGTTTTTTGCATTAAAAACCAGTATACACCACCCACCCCTTTTAAAACTAAAATATAATGAAAATAAATGCCCTGATATTCGAAGACCTCAACCTTTGGAGCATAGCTAAAACATCCATGGCCACCATCAACCACATGAATATCCATCAGAAAACGTATAGCCTTTCATTTCTAACAAGCAAGAGTGCTCCAGCATTAGAACTGGTACTCGAGAGACATAAATAACCAATTTATTTCCAAATGAGATTTCGCAGGTGGGTGCTGTGTCTAGCCAGGGAGGAGCCATTAATTGGCTGGTTTTATGCTCTTTCAGTAGGCTACTATACCTGCTGCCCAGCAATTCCTATTGATAGACTGTCTTAATTGCTTGGATTCTGTGATTCATGAAGCTTCATGATGCACAGGAGCCAAGAGTGGTGCTTACTTTAACAATGACACTGAATACCGGGACAACTGAACATGAAAACCACAAACCACACAGCTGAGCCAGGAAAGCTTACTTCAGCCAAACTGTTACTCCTGAATGGCAGGAGTAAAAGCCAAATGTTTAACCAAAAATCCAAATAAGGAAATTTTGCTACTCTTTCCTTTTCTGTGTTTTATAAATTCCTTAAAAATAACTAGACAGTAAAGAAAACAATGCTCAGCAATGCTTAATTTGTTGGAAAACCCTTGTGCCTAATGAGCTGAAAAGACTGTGAGGATACATGAATACATTAATTCATACATTAATTGTATGAACCAAAGATTCTACAGCTTCCAACAAAAACCTTCAACAACAAAACACACTCATTTCCACAAATCAACGCACATCATAGACAAACTTTTTTATTTTCAATATGAAATTACTATAAATAATCCTGCATACAAAAAGATAAACTTTTATTCCTAATGCACCATAGAAACAGTAACTACACCAAGTTAGTGTCTTGAGTCTTTAACCTGCTTAATATTTGCCAAAAAAATGTACAGATAATCCTAACATCCTTCATTAAACCCCAAGAAGAAAATTACAAAAACTGAGGCAGAGTTCTTAAAATGTCAGACCGTGCAAAACCTTTTAAAATAAATGGCCACTTTGACAGGTTCTAGGAAGACAGCTCCATCTGGTGTTTCAGTGAGCAGCAGCAGAACATGACTTGCACAAGCCTTAAATCAAGTATCAGTCCAATCAAAAGATAAAAACATTGAAAATGCAGCTGTCAAAATAAATCACAACTACCCAAAAACAAGCACGCCATATGGGTTTTTGTAACACTACTTACAGCCAGACTCTTACAACTGCGCAGGCCATATGCCATGCAGCTCAGAAAGGCAGGGAAAGAACCATTTCATACTCAGGAGGTTATGTCACAGAATATAACGGGAGCACCTTAAATGGCACTGATATCCTCAATACCTACACTTGATGGTTTATTGACACAGTCATGACACCATGACCAACTGAATCTAAAGCGACAAGAGGCCGCAGAGGAAAGAGCGCTGTGGAGAGCCCATACCTGAGTCGTTGCGCAGATAGGACGACATTGCAGGGATAAGGCAAGACTGGCTGAGCAGCTCATGGAGGACCGCAGGAAGGGCATTGCTGTTCTGGCCTCTGCTCTCCCCAGAGTGAGCCTCCCCAGACCCTGTGCTGCCCGCCGGATTGATGTAACTGGCAAGAACCTGGGAGAGACAGAGGGAGAGAAACCAGTCAGCATCTCCATTCCAGGCCTCGCACGGCATTACATTAAACTGGAGTTTGCACGAACGCTTGTGGTCTTCGAACACCACATTTTACGGTTAAAGAAAACATCGTTCTTCAAATACTCCATGATTTATGGAGTGAAAATACATTCACTCACTGTGAACCCTGCTCTCCATTCTAATCGTTTGCCACTTTCTGGCTTTAGGTGAAACTAAGAGGAAAAGGTTTAAAGTGTAAAAACCCAAGCCAGAGTAAACAGTGTTTTCAATTTCCTCCAGGTTTCCATGAATGTACAACCATGGCAATCAAGCTGAACGCAAAGTGCATGTGGAAAACTAAAAAAGTTTTCAGTCAAAGAAAAGCTGGTCATTTAATTTAGGCTTTGTTTGGAGAGGGACCACAATACTTTCAAAGATGTCCCGAAAGGTATTTAAATACATAAAACAACGTGAATTAAGATGGAGAATAAAAAAGATCTAATCACAAAATAATTTTAATGTATCTTCCCTTACATAACCCTGAAGCAATCAGCTGTAGACAACAGCACCATCACCACAGGCAGACAAGGTCGGGGTAATGTACTGATACTGTGACAGACCACAGCAGGCTGCACGCTCCCTCCCCAAAACCGACCTGAAGCAGGCAGGTGACGTGCTCCTCCTCCAGCCTCTGCTTGGTCAGGGCCTGTTCGACATCCCAGCCTGAGGCCGTGGAGCCAGTCCCAAAGCCTGTCCCCTTGGCCCAGTACAGCTGCTGCTCCTCGCTGGAGCCACTGACATGTCCGCTGGACACCTGATGCTGGGAGACAAACAGAGGCTCAAAGATCCGCAGTGCAAATGGCGCTTCCGGGACCTGGTTCCCGTGGCCTTGAATTAACATCGCTGCTTCTGCCCCATCCCCTCCCTAGTGCCCGCCTGTATCCCCAGCCAGACACGCTTTGAACAAAAGAAAACAAATGGTGCACAGGTAAATAAAACATCAGGCATCCTGCTGTGCCAAACACCCCAAAATGAATAACAGTTTAGTGGAATTAGGACAGAAACTCTCTGATCTGGAAGAGAGTTATTTCAACTGGAAAACTGACAAATCTAACAGCTCTGCAAGCACAGATGGGAAGAAAATGCGAGATGACATCGAGCAGCTTCAGGGGCACTAGAATAAGGTAAACTTCAGGAAGGCGCGCAACACCGCATACTTAAGCCTGGCTGCATGTCTTAAGGGGGCGCTCACTCTGGATCCAGTGCGACAGTGTGGGACGGCAAAAACAACTACTCTCAGAAAAAGTGTTTATGTGGAAGCGGCAGGCAGAGATGGCTTGCAGCATGCAATCCAGGAGCTGAAGATGTTTTGGGGTTTTGATACAGGCAGTAAGAAGAAACGAGGAAAGCGTCAAGCCGCTGAGAAGCAAAACAGAGGTAGAGTATGTCACTCTAACACTGCCTGAGCTTCCAAAACTATACTGTTATAAATATTTACAAGACCACCAACAGGAAAACTGCAGTATGAAAACTTGTGAACACTCTGGAAAAAGAACAGGTTGTTGCTTTTTTTGCTTAATTAGTAATCTCCCAGTTATTTTTTTTTTAGATACACTCATCTAATTTTGAACTGTCAACTGTGTGTTTTTCAAGTCTCGGCTCACAGCTATAAAAGCTGCAGCCGCACACGGGAGATGTAATGGAGGGCACACACCTTCGACCTGCCCCGCTTCAAGGCACTAGTCTTTCTAGCATCTTGGGTAACGCGGCACCCGGGATTCAGGACAGATCGGTGGAAAGGCACGTCTCGCCGACAGCACTGTAAGCACCTGGGAAACCGCAGAGCTTGCCAAGTTGCCAGGAGATGAGATCTGGCCGACTTATCCCATCCTACCATCAGAGGCTCTGGGTCAAGTGTGTGCCACTACTTGAAAAGTCCCAGTCTTACACAGCTAGTGACATGACCCAGGTTCGAATTTGTGATGCCTGGGTCACAGAGCTCAGTGTGCACTCAGGCACGAGTTGATACTTGATGAGCCATACAAAAGCACATGACGGGGTTACTTTATGAAAAGAAACATGCTAGTTCTCTAGTTCATATAGAGCTATAGCACCATTGCAAAGTTTATTTTAAAGAGAAATGTAACGTGTAATGTATGCATCAGATAAATAATAGATTAACAGATACATGTTTACATGATACTAAAATGATGTTTCAAATTCTCGCCTCCTATTTTTAAAATACACCATGTATCAGTGGCACCTGATTGTAGTATCAAGCAAATCATAACCTATGAGATTGAACAGGAAAATGCTGCTCTTTTTCATTGAAAAAACAGTACATATTGCTATTCACTGGCTATTATATAATGTCAAGACCTCTCCATCACAAAGTTTGCAGAAATTAGATCAAAACAGTAATTCTAGTTTTACCAATCCCTGTTATATCTAGCTGTTTAATAGGGACGCCTCTGCATGGCTTTAGAATTAGAATGAGCAGATGTGAATAATCTTATTATAGCAAAAATTGTGAATGAAAACCTGTGTATAATGTCATAGACCGAGACAGCACAAGCAACATTTAATATTTGTCATAGCAATGGTAATCTTTTGTATAGCTAAGAGTCAAGGAATTGGTGTAGCTCCATCTGATGAGCAGTAGTGTAAGACGTTACATTTACCCTGCAATATTTGACACTGATCATCTCTGACACAGCTTGAGCCTTATCATTACACAAGGCAAAGAAAGACTGATAATCTGAAAGACTGCTCAAGTCTCCTCCACAATTATGTTACTCCACACTGCATATGCAACAAATTAAATCTGTATGAGTTCAGGATGAAATATTGCCATTTTTTCTCTTGTCATATTTTGTCATGGTTATTAAATAACATATCCACAATAAGATGCTGTGCCTAAATGAAGAAAGCATCTTCATAAACACACTGACACACAAGGCTACCTTTGTGTAAAATAATCCTGGTTAATGTAATTCTGGATATAAACACTACCTAACCGTGTATATATAGCAGAAGGCAAGGAAAATGCTTCTAGACATTCTTGGTCTATCAGGAAACACACAATAGACTTCAATAAACAGTTTGTCAAATGAAGAACAGACAATATTATAATTTAAATTTTTTAAGCAATTTTAAATGTTATTTGTGATTTATAACAAAGTCAGAAAAATGAAAAGCCATCTCTAACCTAACCTGCCGTCAGGAAGATCAGTCATGGCACATGTAGCGAGACATGCAGTTCCAAAGCCTACTAATTGAAGAGAGGAACAAATCCAGTGCCAGCAGGTCACATTCACAGAAAGAGGGGGGTGTAAGGTAATCTCACTCTTCTGCCTACACTCCTAGGCCAGCAGGCATTTAATGCCTTCCTCTTTCCCTTGTGGGGCATAAACTATCTTTGCTTACAGAGAAGCTGTAAGCTTTGCTTACATTGTCACTTTGATCTCAGGAAATCAAGCAAGATTGAAACAAATAGAGGATGCTTCTGAGGAGACTTACAATTGTGGCTCAGAGGCAGTCTGGTGCCTGTGCCTTATTTGAGAACGGTTGCAAAACAGATAAATCTAGACATGTGGGGCACCACATTTTACTGCTGTGTCTTGTACATAACTTGGATATAAATCCTCGCCTTCCATCATTCACTACTGAAATGTTGTGGGTTTTCGTTTTATATTTTTCAGAATGGAATTAACTCGTTTCTTTGCAGCCCACAAGCAAAATGCAGTTTCCCACCTGGATCATTCCTCCTGCTTGCTTTATTGTTTCAAACAGAGGCTGTGCTGCATGCAGAATTAGCTCAGGGTAGAGCTTTTAAGAGAAAACAAAGTGTTGTTTTCGATAATAAAGGAATGTGTTCTGTTTTGAAGGTCATCTGGATTACGGATTGTACAAATCACACTGATATACACTGATTTTGTGTACAAGTGACATGTTATATTCTGCCATTTGTAAAATGCAAAAGACATTTGCTTGTAAATTAAACCACACCTTGTAAGTGAGCTCTTATCAGGTCTCAGAAGCTAAGCAAGGCTGGCCTGGTGAGTAATGGGAAGGTAGTCCTCCGAGAAAGACCTTTAAGTGGTCGCTGCCATAAGTGATGTTAAAAAACTGGTAGGTGCTCTTTCCTCCGGAGCAGAATTTCCACATCAGAGTTCCAGTATCATGGCCAGGGACATGTTAAATGAAGTCTGAACTAGTCACCATAGATCCACTGGCGCTGCTCACAAGAGCAGGGGTAAAAGGATGAGAACTGTCCACACCCCCTCATCACTGGAATTTACCAGGGAAATGAACCAGATCTCACTGACGACACTAAAAAGCTCACAGAGGCAAGCAGCGCGCAGAGAACAGCCGGGTTGACTCAAGCATACCCGACACTGGGGGAGTCTTGGGGAGCCTGGCCCATTGGACAGCAGTGCTTGGGGTACCCCGGTCAGAGCAGATCAATGTCAAAGCACAGACACGTTCATATCAACCATAATCTGATATTGGAGGACCTTCCTGACTAGCATCCTGACTTGCATTAAAAATAAAATACAGCGCAACCGCCTGAAGTCAGGAGGAGAGAAACAGAGCTTTTGTTTTCCTGGTATGATAAACGTTTTTCTAACTGGGATGGTGGGAGGTTGGCAAGATCAAGATCCTCAGCAATTACCGTACCAGGATAATGTGAAAACAGATTGTTACCGTCAGCGGGAACTCACCTCTGTCTGGTTGGGACTTGCATTTGGCACTCTGGGGGCATGGTGGCTTAGGGCAGACAGGCAGGCCAGGATGAGATGGATGGCTCCGATCTCCAAAGCCATGCGCCTCAGGAGCACTCCATCATCAGTAGTCAGCGGTGTGGTGCTGAATAAAGTGCGCAGAACGTGGAATGGGAGGGTAGGGAGAACGTTGGCCGACGGGGACTGCAGGATGTGACCTGGTTAGAAAGAAACCTGTTAGCAAGCAAAGCAGGAACGAGGCAGAGAGCGAAAGCACTCTTAATGACTGCGCACTCACAGCAGGGTTCTACTGGCCAATGGTTATTACTCAACCATTAAACGGCACAAAGGCTTTCACTGCTCAAAGGGCCGGTGATGTTTTTTCCCCAACCTGCCATTCCTGTGCAATCCCACTTGGATAATACAGGAAAGTCAGTTCAGTTTAATTAGGGGCTTACCCATGTCCATATCAAAACTGCTGAGTGTGAAGTTTCTTCTTCCATTTATGGTGACAGCTTAGTCTTTTACATGACTTTAACTGTAAGCACAACGATACTTGTGATTCATCAAGTATACCCGCATTCTGCATAGCTGCATTCTAAGCACAACGACCCTGCAACTAATTTCAAGAGATTATACTCCCGCTACTGAAACTCCAAATCAGGGCACACCATTCACCCACGGTGCACATGCACCTGTAGAAATAAATGTGCAGTTTCTCCGTGATGTGATGTTTAATGACACATGCCATAAAACACAAACCATGCGTGCAATTTCCCTGACCTAAAACTGTGGTTGTTCAAGCTTAAATAATATTGGACCACCAATACTCATATGAAGACCACAAACCGCAAACACGAGAACTAGGATTTCCTTCTACACTCAAACCCTTCTTCTTCAGAAGAGCCTTTACTTGACTGGTTCTGCTCTTGACCCCTCTGCTCCTGCTGTATTCAGTACCCCCATCTACTGTCTCCTCTCCCTGTGTATTCTCACTTTGCATATCCGGTGTATGTTTTTATTGTTGTTGTAGTTTGAAGGTGCAAAGGTTTATTATTATGATTATTTTTGCGCCTCCGGCCAGCTCGGAGGCAGCAGTTTCCTGCGCTCCCACAGCACCGCGCCGAGCGGCACTCACTGCCTTCTCCGTCGTCGGTGACCCCGAGGACCAGCCGCAGCAGGCACTGGGCATGCTTGCGCTCCTTCAGCAGCACCTCCGCGTAGCCCGGCAGGCGCAGGAAGAGCCCGAAGGCGGCCAGGGAGTGCGCGGGGATGGGGGACATGGTCTGCACCGCGGACTTGATGGGGGGGGGCTCAGCGGCGATGGTCTCCGGGGCCTCGTACACCAGCTCCCCCGACTGCTCGATGGTCACCCACTCAAACTGGTCGCTGTCCTTCGGTTTCTCCTGCGCGGCCGACGCCACCACAGGGGCGCTAACCTAGAGATTGGGAAAGGAAAGGACAACACAGTCAGGCTTCGGGTCTGGGTCTGTAGACTGCCTGTTCCTCCTCTTCCAGCAGGATGAGCCTGTTTATAACCAACGCTTGACCCCTGTGCACTAACATCCCACCAATATATTAAGTGAGCAAAAGAAGGGACTAATGCATGACTATCATCTATTATTATTATTATTATTATAGGTCCAGGGATCATCACCCTCTCAAGGCCAGCCTCGCTGGTGGTCCGTCTTAGACTTCATTCAAAAAATATTTTTAAAGTGAATATGCCAACAATGTTTTTTTCCTATGTTTAAGGAATGTGAGCAGACAAAATCCTCACTGCTCACAGATAACTCAAATTTAAACAAGAAAAACAGAAAATATGAAGGCTGTCCCCTCAAAACAGACCTTCCATTCATCTCATTTCATTGTAGAGTTTATCAAAGTGTTATTTTGGGCTTGGAGTTTTTTTCTTTTGAGTTTCAACTTGTTAAAAAAATAATGCAGCACTTGAGACAACGTGAAAAAAAACATAAAACGGCAAAAAACAAGGGTTTATGAAGCCAAGCACCAAGCACTTAAGGAAAGAACGCCACTAAGATCAACTGGTTCCAGTCATATTTTCCTTGCCTCTGCTGCAGTGTGCAACATTCTCTTCTCAATTTCATTTGTTTTGATGGTTTAAATGAGTTACGCATTGCATTTAAAACCCAAACTTCAGAATGGACACCAGTTTAATCAGATGATGAAGTTTTTTACAGAAATGTTTCAACAAAACAGAAGATGAAGAAAAAAAGGACTTGCCTGTTGAATGACGTCTGGGTACAGCATTGGCAATCTCTCCGCTATGAGTGCCAGGCCGCCCATCCCTGCGAACACCTGCAGGGGCGACTGGATAGGGCTGGTCTCCAGCAGAGACTCGTCGATAGCAGCATCTATGCATTCCTCACCTGGGGTCATAGGCTCATCTTCAGGGCAGCTGTTCAGCATCTCCCCATGCTCTGCAGGAGACAGAAAAGAAGGGCAGTGTCTTTAACTGCAGGAGCACAACAAAACAGCACCGTGACTAGAGAGATATTCACAAAGAAAATATCACATCTTCAGTTTTTCCATTAGTCTTGGTCTAATGTCACAGCTTGTGCTTATTCAAAAGGTTTCAATGCTTACTTGTCGTTAATCCAGAGCATCTACATTGGTAAAAGCATCAGTGAAGTAGTCACTAGATCTTTCTCAGATCCAGTGACTAAAGTATTGTGGAATTTTAGACAGATTCTACAGATACTACTGTATAAATAAAATGTGTTAAATGCAATCATTTATTATATGGAATGTCTCTCAGAAAAGCATTCATAATATTCTCATAGAGGTGGGAATTAAGGCTACCGTTTGAACCTGGCAGCCTATTCCACATTCCTGTGATCAGGCCCTAATCAAGTTCATTAGGGAACAGTGGCTCACAAGCTTCAGGTTTTTAAAAATATTTCAAACACACTGAAACAGAGGCAGCATATCGAGAGACAGCGGTACACTGAAGCTCTGTGGATCCACCAGCTCCTGGAGTGCAGTGGTGCAAAATGCTCTGGTGGTGCTTGAAAACAATATCATTATAAAGAAATCTACATGCAGGATAAGAAAGTTCTGCTCTTTACTACCGATTATGAAGATAATATTTATTTACTGTTGCGCCACCAAAGCCAGCTACGGAATCCCCTAGTTAATGAGGCTGGAAAACTTCTTTGCAGTGTACATAACCACTCAGGTGCAAACAGCAGAGCCAGCTTGTGAGCATGAGTACGGACGCCTCCTCCTGTACCCTCTCACTCCCATGCCAGTTCCACAGCCCTGTGTTTAGCAGGGGGGGGAAGCTGGAGTTCATCTGGTTGTCAAAGAGTTTTACAAAATGTAGTTATGGGGAGCACGTGACAGGCATGCTCCTGCCCTGGGGGCAGCGTACAGTATCCTCCCAGACAGAGGGCTAGTGGCACACCGCGGCCCTCGCTGGGCCTCCGGCCAGGCCGACCAGCACTGCTCCCACGCTCCTCCCCCAGAGCGAGAGACGGCGGGAACAAAACTGCTCACCGGCAGGGCACATCCTCCCACCGCCAGGAGGAGAGCCACCACGAGCATACTGGCAAATCAGGGCCTCAGCTGAGCATCGCAAAGGGAAATCTAATCAGGCTTAAGCCATAAAAATGTGCAGCTGAATAAGGTGCCCAAGGTCAGCTGTTCAGGCAGGACAGGATGTCCAGGGAATGTCAGTGAGCTGCATGGAGAATTACTGTATATCTCACCACCTTCTTTCTGCTTCCCCTAAGAACCACGTCTCCCACCTCTACTACAGAATGTTAGACAAATTGCAATATTAACAGATTCTTAGAAAATTTTAGATTTTGAAATTATACTCTTGCCCACTAAAGAACAAAGCAGGAATACGAGGCAATCGCATCTGAATGGGCTTGTTTTTGGTTTCCCGGACAACGTTTTCACGACCGTAGCTGATTAAAAAGGACAGGACTTATCAATGAGGCTCCAAAATAACTCACGAGTGCAGCCACCCAGAAGATAAAAATATCAAAAATGCTAAAAAGTAAAAGTGGGACTAAAAAGAGATGTAATAAGCAATACAGACAAGAAACACAGTGCTTACCTAGGTGCGTCAGAGGGTGAGATGATACACATGCTAATTTAACTCTCATTTTCTTGTGGTGTCCATGTCAGACTGTCTCATTTAATTTGCTTTTAAGAGCAATTGCACTTAAATTAATAATCCAAATACTCTTACTTTTGAACTTTAGGTTCCATAAATAAAACACATGAGAATATCCGCATTTAATAACATAACATGCCACTGAAACACAATAGGATTATGGAAGACAGATACCAAGGTGCAAACATGAAATGGACTACAAAAACTAAACAGTCAGCTGACTTAAACAAATTTGTACTAAAGTAAAAATTACTAAAATAATACATTGACTTGTCAGAAAAAATACCTGACATGGGAAAGTGTCCAGAGTTTTACAATTAAAAGGACTTAAGTGCTTTTACGCTTGACATTTTCATGTATTTGGTTAAAATCAAACTAATAAGGCGCCCTGTTAGTATAAGGTGGATTCATATTAAGTTATTCATTACTGGCAAAGTCATTGCATAATTAGAAAAGGGGATTTGGCATGGAATATCTACAACAGTTTCAAAGGTTTAGCACCACCTTCAAGACACTTGGGTGAACAAGATTTTGAAGCTTTAAGCAGACCGCAGTCTCTCTTTCAAGAACTTTTTGCGCAAACCAAATGAACGACAGCTACCTTTCTCCGTCCGGAGACGCTTGAAGGAGTCCGTTTTCGAGAGGCTGGGGTCAGAGATGATCTTGGAACCCAGTTTGACAGTTAGGTCTATCGATCGGTAGCCCTGAGGCAGCTTGCGGTCGTACAGTAAGGTTAACAACTGGGCGAGAGTCATCTCAGCAGGCAAAGGCTGACCTACAGAACACCACACAGGTAAAGAAGAGAATCTCAATCAACAGAAGTGTTAGGGCTCCTGTTTAAGAACTAAAACATCATGCATGATATGATACAAGTATTTGTACACAGTGGTACACAACCCACAATGGAAGCTCCAGGCACGCTTTTGACTTGTCCTCCGCCCACCATTCTCCAGTGGAGGGCCTTACACTCTGTGCACAGTCAACAGCAAGGCACACCCCAAATACACATGGGTACCGAATGAACATTTTAGAGCCCAAGAGAAACTAAATGTTCTAACATTATACAAAGGTAAACACGGGGGGTGAAAAGCTAAGCCACTCGTGTATTTTCTTCCACAGCACGTATTTCCTTGCATGCAACATTCAGTAAAGGCTCCATTACTGACCGAACTGAACATTAAAAACAGACAGTCAGCTTCTTATACTAAGACAACTGTGGTCCTTCTCCGGACATCTGGCTCTAAATGTTAGCGATGAGAGAAGGAGAGCAGCCAACTGTCCTCTGGTTACGATATGCAATAATATCAAGACATTAAGACAAAATGTATGCAGGTTTCCTTTGATTGCAAGATCTTTCTTCATTCTTAGAAAAAACAAGTTGTTCAGCATATGTATCACAGATCCCCTCCTCACCTACTGCTATATAGCTCTTTTCAAACTGTATTCACTACAGTACGGTCTATGTATAACTGCCCTTTTTCAACAGTAAACGGACCGGGTCAACAAAGACAGCTGGTTTGCCGTGTCCACCTAAGCCTAAGAAAGCAGCTTCTCTTGAAGTGAAATGAGAAGGCAGGGGCCTCCTGCATGAGAACCCACCTGGGAGCAGCTTGTGGTAGAGGTGAAAGACAGGAACGCTGATGGTCTTGCTGGAGGACTCCACGCCCGCCGAGGGGGTGAGCTTGTCGTTCATCGCTCTGCCTCTGCGGGACGGGGGCCGGGGAGGGGTGGAGACCGCTCTCTTCGACTGGGACTTCAGACCTGGAACACAGCGACCGCCTTCAAACAGTGCCCGCAAAAAACCGCACACGGGTAGAAGGATGAACTTCACATACTGTACGTGCATCAGAAACACAGGAAAACAATTCAGAGGGAGGGGTGTGGTAGCGCCCAGATAAGCACTCAAACAGAGGATGCTGAAAAAGACTGATGCACTTTTGAGCAACTCCACAACAACAGTAGCTACACATTCGACTTATGAAACTCAGTCAGGGAGAACTCTTTTAAGACATTAGGAGAAGGGGTTTCTGTCACCAGTTCTGGAATTATGCAGTGATATAGTACCGTTATGGGTTAGTACAGTTGCTTTCAGACTTCCGCCTGGATTCAGACACCAGAGAACAGTCTGGAAAGAGGGAGGCAGCACACCTGAGGCAACAACAACACTGTAGTTTTCCTGAAAGCCGTTGTCTGCCTTCATCTTCTCCTTCTCCTCGTGATTCCTCTTCTCCTTGTCTTCCTTCTGCTCATTGATCAGCTTGGCCGTTATGCTCGGGGTGTCTACGTTGCAAGAGTGTCAGGAAAAAGAAGAATCCACACAAGAGGTCAAAAAAGAGGTCATTTGACATGGCAGCGCAGCAGAGCAAACAGTGTGACAAGAACTCGTCTTTGCACAAGACTGAATTCTTTCAAGTCTTAGTGATGAAGCTGACAATTCTGTTTCATAATGGACGCGTGTTTTGAGGCAGTCGTCCCATGGGATAATGCACAGACACAGAACTTTCATTATAAAATCTAAAATCTCATTCTTACAAGTCTAGGAAAGGTTTGCTAAAGTTTACTAATCTAATATGTACAGTATCTATTGAAGAATGGGACAGCTAAAAAGTTATATTACACTTAGATAAAATGATCTAGTGTGGCAAAGTAGCAGAGTGGTTGGCATTGCGGCCACACAGAGCTGGGGTGCTGGGTTCAATTCTGGACCTGGGGTGCTGTCTGTGTGGAGTTTGCATGTTCTCCCCATGTTTGCATGGGTTGCCTCCAAGTGTCCCGTTTCCTCCCGCAGACCAAAGAATAGGTTAACTGTATATTAATAATAGTATATTGTATTGTATACAGTCCTGCACCCTTTGCTTGAGGGGAAAGGCTCCAGATCCCCTACGACCCAAAACTGGATAAAGTAATCAGAAACTGGGGGATAAAGCTTTCTCTTAAGAACAAGAGAAAGAAAACATTTCTCATAAAAGAGAGGTGGTATTTATCATCATTTCACACCGAGTTTACATTGCACGTCTCCATGCTCCAGTCCAATTATTACCAGAGATCCACAAGCTATTTTAAGTAATGACCTAACTGCCAGTGATGACATTCTAATGCTCCGCCACACAGACCATCAAAGATGTCACTCTAGGATAAAACAACAGCCCCCCTCTCCCTGTTTACAGACAATGGTTTAACATCACTACTTCCTCAAGGACCTGAAAGGAGAAACATTCATCACACAAGCACCGTCTGCGGAAAGAACTCAATCTGCCACCAGTTGCTAAATCTAGAATTTCCAAGCATTCACATCGCAAACGCTTGCCTCTGAGCTTATTGACCTTGACTAGTGGATAATGTCTAGAAAACATATTTATTTGACCAAGGTGTCATCACTCTCCAACATTCATATTCACTTCTATGTATAATGGCACTGCTTCAATTTCAATTTGGATGCTTTCATGGCTTTAAATTATGGGACCTTTGTCTCAGATTAAAAAAAAAAGACTTTAAATTTATTACAAAGCTGGTTCCAGAAGTGGGCAATTTATTTCTATAAGCCAGAATATTACCGTCGTTTATGAGGACTGCCAAAGGTAAATATACACCCAGTTTTTCTACCATATCCAGACTGCGATCCTGAGCCACAAAATGCAATTTTGGCGTATTTAATCTTGTCATCAGCATGTCTACCACTGGCAAGGAATTAAGATCTACAGCACTTCTGTAGCAGCACTACAAGGGCACTTCACAATCAAGTACAAATTTATTTATAGCCACAAATTTGGTATATTAGGAAATGCTCTTCTAAATGTTGTTAAGTATTATGATAAGAATTAATCTTCTGGCCATTAATCACTTATCTCTTCTGCACACACCTGACAGCTAATATATTCAGCTAACACTACACTGCCCATAAGTGGTAAGATATCAGCTCCATAGCAAGTCATTAGCCAGTCTGTTTAGCAATGAAGAAAAAAGGTGACAGATCAGACTTATTACTTTACTATTAATGAATTTTTTCCCCAGTCTAACATGTATAAGATATCACATGGTCTGTTAAATCATTCTAAAGGTTTGGTCAATTCTGATAGGATTTTTTTCTTCCCAATCTACAAAAAATAATAGTGACAGCTGTATTTGACGTAATAAATTGGTGCATGTCATTTCCTAGAGGGGAATGGAAAGATTTTAACCAATTGATATTCTCAAAAAGACCTGACAGGAGACGCCCTTGGAATGGCTCTGTTCCCACGACGCTGTGGAGCTTTCCTGCCTCAGATGGGCAAATGCATTAGCGAAGCTCCAGCTTCACACATGGGGCTAACTATGGCATGTCAATGAGGTTAAGTATTACCCTCCTACTCTAGGAGCTTATCACTGGAGGTCTGGCGCTGCTCAGCTACCACCTGAAGCCATTCAAGGACAGCTAGGGAGGGGTACATTTAAAAACAATACTGTTCAGCTGCTCTTATCAATAAGCAAATCCAGATGATAAAACAAAGGTGATTTATAAAAGACTGTGCACACAGGGAAACATTTACACAGGGTACTAGATTACATGCACAGAGGGAAATAAAAGACAGCCCTGGGATATGAAAGACGAATTAAGGATCGCATGAATGCTGCCTGCCCCGTCCTGTACAGCCCTGCCATCTGCGCTGCCCCCCTCTGTACACGAGCTCGTGGGATACCTACCCGACACGCGGTCGAGGACTTCTGCCAAGGTTGTGGAGATGGGCAGGTGGAGGGTGCGGAATTTATGCCCGGCACCGTACATGGGGTGTTGAATCACATGGCTGGTGGCGTTAATCCTCCCCTTGTACAGCTGGAACGAGGGGGTCAGAGAAGAGAAAAGGTGTCAGTGGGACGATCAGGGGTATGGCTTAATGATATATAACAGGCAGGCTGACAGTGACAGAGAGCCCTTCGCCAAGCCCTGCTGTTGCTTTACATTCATATCTGACAGTACAATCAACATGATTGAAACATGTTAGGCCAACAGAATTTTAAACAGCATGGAGATGATGCAAGGAAACACCACATTGTGTCACGTGCAGCTATCTTCCATAACCACAGGGAGATGACTGCACATTACCTCAGGAGGTTGAGAATAAAATGAAATGCGAAGAAAAATTAGTAGGGTAAGGAAACAGCAGATGGGGAGAAACTACACCCCCAGGACACAGACAAAGGAATTTGCAGGGAGCACAGCAATTAATTATAAAAACTGAAATTGAATGACTAAAGATGGGTCGATCCAGAAGAATCAAAGAAGCCAAAACAAACCAGTCCAAGTAGGTGGAATGCCACTGCAGCTAGCCACTTATATCTTCCGTCTTCCACAACCTCCTGCTGGGGGTTTATGAAATATGACACAAGCTGTCATTCAGCATCGCTGTTACGTGTGCTTTATTCCTTATGACTGTTATTGTTGTTCCTACCTTGAGGCGACAGCCATTTCACTGGCAGTCACGATTCAAATGTTAAGAGTTCCTTGGGCGGCTGATAAATAAAAACTAAAATAAACTGAACTGCAGCCAAGCTGTCAATAATTTAGAGGTTGAAAGCACGATTCCTCTCACTGCTGCTTATTTAAGGTGGCTCTCCTGTAATGTGGTGCAGAAAGGCGATAAAGTACAGTTCCCCGAGGTAAAAAGAAAGAAATCTTGATCTCACAAAGATCAAACTGAACAGGGCAGACTCAGCGTGAAACAAAAATCAAGACTACACCAAACTGCAGTTCAAAATATTAGATTGGTTTATAATCACCGTACACTCCAAAGTACCTCTGTAAATCCACACTGAATCGCAAAAATCCATCTTCTCAGTGCAGCACTTACGCCATATAAAGATACCTTCTGTATGCAACACCCACACAGTCATAACAGATGAGCCTGTGAAAGCACTACAATTCCATGTGGACCTCACATTTGAGCCGAGACCACATAAGGCTAAATAACAGAGGTCTCACAGCTCCCGAAGCAGAGGTACTAATGACTTCATGACCATATTCATTCATTCAAACTTTGCTTTGGTGTCCATGACTGCTAAGTGCTGTATAGCAATGGACACAAATATAGGTACTGGCATGAACAAAACAGATGATTAATTAAAATACATGTATTTAATTTATATAGAGGTACAGGGTATGATTACTGTTGGAGACTCAAAAACCAAATTAAGAATGTGGAGAGCCGACTTTGTAAAGTTTATGATCTGAATGCACATAGCAGTGTCTAGATACAGTACATCACAAAACAGCAGTTGCTTCACTGGTGATTTTATAGCTATATTTTTCACTGCCGCACCAACACAACCCTACGAACAGCAAGTAAACAAGGATTTTAAAGACAATTAAGATCTATGAAGGAGTAAAGTGATGACACAAATACACCAGCTTACTATTATTTCTTAAATTGCTGTTTGGGGGGAGAAATGTCAAAGATGACAGCACGCTGTAATATAGTGAGAACTGCAGAGTTTGTCTTGACTGTAGCTTGGCCCTGCGACATCCCCCATGAACAGCGAAAACAAATGCTGAAGTGGTCACTAGTTATGACGTATACTTATATAGTTGTGTAGTTTGTGACAAATTAAATGCCTTTTCTTAAAAACATCAAGGTCAAGCAGGTCTTGTCTTTCAAACCCAGATGCACTGACACAGCTCATCTGAGAATACAGCGCCCCCTTGTGACCATCACAGGCCAACAAACAAGCTTCAGCAACCCTTTCTTACCTCATGGTTTCAGTTTGGGCTTGGATGGGGGACCAAAAACAAAAGCAATCCAACTCTAGACTTGTTTTCCCCATAGGTAAAGGCTCCAAAGGCACATCATCCAGACGTTTTTAACCACAGTGAAATGACTCACCGGACAAGGGGACTGCAGGAAGACTATGACCTTCTCATCCTCCAGCATCAGCTGCAAGAACAACCTGCGGATGAACCCGGAGATGTTCCCCGAGGTGGGAACGCTGCCCCGCTGGGGTGCTGACTGGAAGAGCTCGCACAATACCTGCAGGGAAACGTTCCGCATTAATCTTGAGCCACCAAAACAAAACCAGAATGGGGCAATTCACCCCTTCCAGGTGAGCAGGATGCACATCCATCCATTTTCTAACCGCTTCAGCCAATTCAGGGTCGCAGGGAAGCCAGAGCCTACCCTGGTAAGCAATGAGTTCAAGGCAGGATACTCCCCTGGATGGGATGCTCATCCATCAAAGGGCACGCACGCACACACACACTCAGGCCAATTTTCCCAGAAGCCAATTAACCCATCTATATGTCTTAGGACTGTGGGAAGAACCTGGAGCACCCGTGCAATCGCAGATACCAGCCCAGGGCCAGCACTGAACCCAGGGCACCAGTGTTGTGAGGCAGCGTGCCATGTGTTAATCAACCATCTAACCCTAAAAACCCATGCCTTATGGGAAACTACTGAACTCCTGACACTAAATAACACATCTCAAAAGGTCAGCCATATTAACTAAATTAAAGCACTCTGGTCAAATGGATACTGACACCTTCCCAAATCCATTCCTGTCAGAACAGACCTAATTCTATTCCTAGCTAAAAAAAAGACACTGAACTGGATACGCATGTCATGCTGCTTTGCTAGGACGTTTATAGCATGAACACAGAGAATTCTGATAATGAAAAGGAGAGCACTGAAATGAGAACACCACATACTGACCTGAGCCATTAGCCTTTGATTATTTGGGTGGCAGGAAATGCACTGCAGGAAAAACGCCACAGTTGCGTTTTCAATTGCTGTCCTCTGCTGGGTGGTCAGTCCGTTTGCCCCCGCAGACGAGGCCAGTGAGTACCTGGAGCCCGAGGGCTGCGGGTTGGCATGGTGGCCCCCAGCGCTAGCACTGGAGTGACACAGCAGAAACAGCAGGGCTGTCCACAGAGGGTTCACCTCCGGCCCTCCCAGCCAGTCTTTCATCGCATGGCTGTTCCCCACATCAGTCAGGAAGCGGAGGACCGGGGCCACCAGATCTGCGGTCAGCGGCACTTTGTTCGCTGGATGCTGCAGGGAGTGGTGCCTCCGGTTTCGGTCAGCAGGAACGTCTGCGGAAGGCACCGAGAAGTCCGAATTGGACAGAAGGCCGCAACAGAAGCTAGCCAAGCTTCTGACCAGCAGAGATGGCAAGCCAGACTCCAGCAGCTGCTTGATGGCCTCGGGGGACTGGGAGGCCGCCGCCAGTGTGGCCAGCTGGGACTCCGTGAGCGCCACGGGGGCCTGCGCGTTCTTGGAGTCATCCGTCAGGCCCGCGCTCAGGTCCTGCTTCTTGCTGTCGTCGGTCATGGAGAGCCGGTGCTGGGTCTGGACTGGAGGAGGGGTGATCCCCATCCAGGCCATCAGGAGAGAGAAGTAGTTGGGATGGATGTGGCACATTGAGCACAGCAAACTGTCCACAGCCTTCTTCAGAACCAAGTTGCATTGCAGGGACATGGACCAATTGTACAACAACCTAGGAAATAAAAGAAGCATTCTGACACTCCGGCAAACATGACCAGCAGGAAGAAAACGGATGGAGGCCGGTGCTTGCCCCGTCCATACTCACTCAAACAGCTCCCGGCTGAGCAAAACCGGAAGGTCGTAATCCACAGGCAGCTCATAGCTGTGCCAGAGGATGGCAGCAACACAGTGCAAATGGGAAGGAGAAGGCATGAGCAGGCCGTACTCCCGGGAGGAGCTGCTGGGATTGATGTAACCCAGATGGCCACTTCTCTTCAGGGCTGCCACTCGGGAGGAGTCGTGCACCCACTGCAACAGGGCCTGGATTCTAGCGGCAAGCACAGGAAATTACAGGTCAGCTGGAACAGAGGCTGATACCAAGGGAGCAACTGGACCGGCACGATGAGGTGCGACCTGATTTCTGTTCTAAAGAGGTCAGAGGAGGGAAAACACCAGTTTGCCAGTTGCTGCCAAGCAGCAAGTTAGAGGTTAATTCCACCAGAAGAAGCGAGTGGGAGAATGAGAAAGAGAGAGCATCAATATGACTCAGACAGGGCAGATAAAAGGAAAGACAGTAAAATTGGCTGGTAGAGGTGAAAAGGGAGTAAAGTGATGGAATTCTGGGCAGCAGTGTCCAGATGAAGTATAGGAGGAAGCAAACGTTAAAAGAAGAAAACGTATAAAAAAATGAGTTATCCACTGAGTGCCTGGGGATCGGGTGGTGAACCCGTTTCTAATGTTTATTTTTGTCGTCTCATTTGAACAAATGAAAGCAATGAAACCTTGGCAACGAACAACAACTCATTGTGAAGGCACGCTTAAGCAAAAAAATCCACACTCCGAAGAGCTGTTTGTAACCACAAACACTGATGCTCCACATGAACACAAGCACCAAGGAACTACAAGTCGGGACACAAGGATTTCTGTACTGTTTTTTAAAAAAATAATCTACGAGAACTGTGTTACTCAATCATATATAAACTCTATCATTATTTCCAGTTACACGAGAGGGAAGACCTTACCTGTCTTTTGTGCCAGGATCCTGTGTTGTTCCAAGCTGATAGAGGATGTCAATCGTCGAGTCAGAGGAAAGCCCGTTTAGCCTTCCAAAAAGCAATGGGCTATTCAGATCTACAAAACGACAAGATTAACAACAATTAACAAAAACCAAACTTCTTGATTTCTACCAAATATTTAAACAACTCATCCATTAACCTCTTCTTCCAATCCAGAGTTACAGGGGAGCCAGCACCTCCCCCAGCAAGCATCAAGCACAAGGCAGGACACACCCTGGACAGGATGCCAGTCCATCAGAGGGCACAGACAGACACGAATACACTCACATTCACACCTAGGGTTAAGTTTGGTAAAAGCCAATTAACCTAGCACTATGTTTTTGTACTGTACGAAGAAACTAGAGCACATGGAGGAAGCTCACACAAACATGCAAACTCCAAACAGACAGCACCCCAGGTCTGGTTTTGAACCCAGGGCCTCAGCGCTAACACTAACCACCATGCCTCGTGCTCACACGTGAAAAATGTTAAGTAACTAATGTTTACATGATATTAAATTGGGAAAAACAAATGAGTTATCTACTTAAGAATCTCGTGCAGACACGATGTAAGCAGGAGGTGACGAGGAACGTGTTTCCAGCCACACTGTCACCAGTCTTTGCCTGCAGAGTGACTGAGGGGAACCCACCTGCAGGGTCGGTGCCTGACGCAGCGCAGTTCCGCAGAAGGATGTCTATGAGCTTGAGCCCGATCCTGGTGGACTGCAGGCCGATCTTCACCAGCACGGCCTCGATGTTGGGCGAGTGCATGCCGCAGTACGGGGACATGAGCAGGGCCGCGCAGGTCTGCAGGAGGTTGGCCGTGGGGGCGGCGGCGCTGGCCATCATGGACTCCAGGTCACTCACGTGAGTCAGGCAGTGGTGCAGAAGCCTCAGCCAGCCAATGCTAGAAGGACAGTGCACCAGAACGGTCAAGAAAACCGGCTAGGAAAGGCACCTCACAACAAGGCCAAAGTACAACCTTACTAACAAAACCCAGCACGTAGGGTGGCGTGGTGACACTGTGGCTCAGGATCTGCGCCTGTGGCTGGAAGGTGGCCAGTTCAAATCCAAACTCTGTCGGGCCCCTTAGCAAGGCCCTTAACCCCAACTGCTCCAGGGGCGCCATATAAATGGCTGACCCTGCGCTCTGACCCCAAGTTTCTCCCTCCTCATCTGTGTGCCTGTGTGTCTCATGGAGAGCAAGTTGGGGTATGCAAAAAGACAAATTCCTAATGCAAAAAATTATATATGGCTAATAAAGTGATCTCTCAACTGGAACTAATCCCTCCCCTTTTCTTAAAGAAGACCTAAAAACAAAAGGTTACGTCGTATTATGATCAAAAACAAAAAAACATGACCACACTTTTTTTTTGCAGGTGGTTGGTCCAGTGCTCACAGAAAAGTAAGAGCAACTCGAGCAAAGTAATGGATCTGACTGGAAGGAACACAGTGGAAAATCTCAACCCTTGTCAGTAAGAGATGAAGCACTAACTGGAGGGACAGGTAAAAGACTGTAGGAGAGCTGGAGTCAAGTACGCAGCCTTTTCCAAAGGCTTCGCCCCCTTGGTGTCTGCGCTTCACCACACACCAGTCCCCTTTGCAGCCCGAATCACCTGGTTTTGGAGACCTGGTCCTCGGAAGGCAGGAAGGGGTTGTTGACGGTGGCGGAGGAGGTGTTCCCGAAGGCGGTGAGGCCCAGCAGCTTGATCTGAGACAGGCCCAGCGTGCTGGCGTCCCTGGGCCGGTGCAGCCGCAGGCAGACCGCCGAAGCCACCTCCGCCTTCACCAGCTGGATCTTGATGTAGGTGAGGCCACTGGTGATGACAGGTGTGGACAAGGGGAGCATGTTCACTCCGTCCGCGCTGATCTCCACCGACACTGAAGAGGGGCAGGCTGCACCACAAACAACATGGAAAACCATCAACCAAAGCTCAGTTCTCCCCCATCTTGTTTAATTTGCTCTTAACCACTTACACCTGATCTTAATTTTCTTTCTACAATGGCTCTGCACAAACCCCAAATACCATCATGCTCCACTTACCTTATTTGACTTTGATTCCCAACAGGCACTATGTCTTTTTTATACTGTAGAAAATGCAGAGCACACTAGGGTACAGTAAGTGACTACCACATTTATCTAATTGCCTTAAGCCTGCTGAGCTGTCATGAGCAAAACAGAGCACTTTTTAAGCGTACAATGCACTATTCGCACAAAGACCCCTCTAAAGATCTCGGGTGGAAAATCTAGCCTCAATCCCAGAAGTCTTCACAGGAATGCAAGACGGGCAAGCAAGCGCTTACTAGCAAGCGAGGCGAGGTGTGGCTGGATGTGGATCTCCTTGAGCAGCACAGCGGCTGGGAGGTGGATGGTGAGGTCGCACCAGGCCTCCTCGGGCAGGAAGATGTAGGACCAGGCCGCAGAGCGGGCTCTCCGGTGGGGAGGGGTGGCCTGCAGCAGCACCTCCGCGGGCTGGGCGGTGGGGCTGCTGGAGGTGATCGTGCCTACAAGACGCCAGCAAAACAGAGCACAGTTAGACAGGCACCCGCAAAGAGTGATCTCACTTCTATTCCGCATCACTCTTGTCCAATGTAATGTTACTGCCATCATTCCGTGCACGACATCCATGGCTAAACTCAATATACAAAAAGTCTCCATGTTTCACTTTAGAACAATAAACTGGCCACGTCGTGCTTCTGGTTTGCTCACTGGAAACAGAGCTAAGTGAGGTGATTATTTTTCTGAACCTCACGCCATGCTGGGGGCCAAAGACCGCTGTCAGATGAAAACAATGAAATACAAAGCAGGATTATCACTCCAGCAGCATTTCAGCCATCTTCCACCAACTCGCGCACACACGCCTGGAGCTCTGCTTGTCCCACCGAGGCCACAGCTCTGGCTGCATACAGGAGCAATGAAACCTTTTTCGGAGATGCGTCTTTTTCTTCTCCTTAAAGAAAACTTCAAGAACTCCTCCTTGATTTCCGAGCCCCTACAAACCCTGTAAAAATAAAGCAGTGGAGCTAAGTGCAGACCTAGCGGTGCAAAGTTGTGAAGCCCTTCTGCGTTGTCCGGTTCTGAGGCTAGCACTCGCGCCTTCAGACTGCCATCTCCCGTCTTGCCAGGGCCCGAGTCCAGGAACTTCATTATGGTGGACACCATGCTCCTGGCCGTGTTGACGATGGCGCGGGTGCTGGTCACCATGTTGTTGCAGATCAGCTGTACCCCACCTGAAGAGAGTCACACTAACCGATTAACGCAAAAGTACAAATGATGGCAAAAATATTCCGAACTGAGCTTGGGTCATTGATGCCGACTTTTCACATGTGCAGAAACGAACGGACTTCCACCGAGTTTGAAATGTAAGTGTTGGTCTTAAATTGTTTTTTCAAGTTAATATTACAAATCCAAATTGTTTTATCACCTGATGAAAACTAATGACACCTCAGCCAAGGTCTTTCCATTGAAATGTATCCAGGAAATGCATATTGTGTTCTGTAATCATCTCCATTTTTCCCCAATTGTCAATGTTCATAACGCTTCAAAACACTGCAAAGATGAGCCTCATTCCTAGGTTGATGAATGGAAGTGCCTGTTTTAGGACTGACACAATGCAAAACTCATGTTTGAAAGCTACAAAATATAGATTCGCCCATCCTCTAACCCAGCCCATAATGAACTTAACAGGTGTCAAGAGACACATAAAACAAAATGATTTAAAAGAATTTCCTGTAATTTATGTTTTTTTTCCCCAAGACCAATCAAAGGAAGCATGCCTACATGTTAAGTTACAGATTTTGAAATCTCCAATTTTTTTAACAGAAATTTTGTTTACATGTAGAAGCTCTGTAGCTGTTAAAAATATCCTGCTGCATTCAAAGCAGGCCGGACTGAACAAATTGCTTAATTCCATCATTAATTTCATCTGCATTTAATAATCCCGCATGTGACACTCGGAAGTTTTAAGCATTACATACCCATATCATGAAAAGCTTTCAAAGCCTCACTTGTATCCAAAACCCTCAGAATAAACCAGAGGAGAGGTTCTGACAGCTGGCACGTGGACAGTGACCCCTAAGGACAGAAATATCAATAATCCTACAATACCGAGCACCCAGTTTCAACACAGAGACAACAAGGGGCAAATCAGATTCATGATGAGGCAGCAAGTGAATAATTCTTCATCCAGGATGCCTTTGAAAACTTAGGTATAAGGGACAATGGCCAAAATACAGGAAAGCAGTAGTACCTTCGGCAGTAGATCAGTAAGCAGATTTTTACAGAATTATTACAGGAAGGAATGACCTTTCTTATTGAACACATGCAATGGGTCTGGGAAAAGAAGAGTGCAAAAGTCCTCACCTGTCTCCCCATGTATCCACACGCCATGTAGGTGAGAACAGGCTGCAGCATGACTTGAACAGAAGTGGCCTTCTTGCTCAGCGTGGTGAGGATGGTGAACAGCCCGTCCCCAACAGAGATGGCGTCCAGCCCACCATGGAAGTTTTCGTGCTTTGTGAGATGTAGTCCGCTGGCTCCTTAAAACACCCAGTTGTAGGCATTTAATACAAAACAGGCTATAAAATACTTCTTCACTCTCCAATAATGCTCCCTTTAAAGTCTCTTCTAAGACAGTCATTGGTAAAAGCACAGCCACTTTGTCACATTCAAAAATTCCCTCCGGGGGAAAAAACATTTCACCATTCAGTCTCCTTTCAATTGACAGTCAATAATAATATAATGAAAATGTGAATATTGTGCACCAAATAATATCGGCAAATGAGAAATGGATTCATTTTTCACAGCGCATACTTGCCTTTTGTCTATTACAAGCACAACACCCCAAAGGCAGAGAAAAGCCCGAACACTTTGTCATAATGAGAGTGCGGAGGTCGATTAATAATAAGTTACCCAACAGGGGCACGCTGCCATACCCACCGATGATCATAGCCATGGCGCTGCTGTTGCACTGCCCCAGGGCCGACAGGATCTGGCTCATGATCTGCTGGTTGGCCAGCACCAAGTCGGCCACACCTGCAGCCGGGCCCTGGTGGACAGAGGCTCCCCCGCCGCCCTCCTTGCTCCCGCAGACCTTCTCCTCGTCCGAGACGCTGTCCGAGGCACTGCTGCCCACTGCCGGCATCCGGCCGCTGAACTCCCGGTCGCTGGACAGCGGCAGCTGCACCAGGATGTTGACGAGCTTCAGCAGGTCGAACATCAGCTGGTCCCGCGTCATCTCCCCGCACACGGCCTTGGCGTCGCCCGGGCGGATGATGTTGGCGAAGAGACCCCCGAAGCAGGCGCGGGCGCCCACGGAGCTGTCCGAGCCGCTGCGCGACACGACTTTGTCCGAGCACGTGATGTAGTGGTGGACCAGGAAGGTGATGGACTCGATGACGGCGGAGATGGTGCTGACAGACACGACCTCGAAGTTCTGCTCCAGAGTGAATTCAAGCAGCTTGACCTGGGCATCCAGGGGGCCCTGTCCTGACTGGAAGGGCCCTCTGAGAGAAACAAGAGCAATAGATCTTATATACACCTTATAATACCCCACTAATACAATGGCAGGTATTGTTCATGAACTAGAAACAAAGTAGGAAAAGGCTGGTTAAACGTTTATTTTGCACAAAACATCTATTTCACTTTGTCCAACACTGGGTCATGGGGAAGCCAGAGTCTATCTCAGCAAGCAAGGCAGATATAACCGAGATGGCATGCCAGTCACAACCGAAGGTTAAAAATAATTTCTCATTGAATTGGCTCAAGATATCTATTCAATGGATCCATGTGTACCTCATTTTACAAGCATACATGGAAGATTCTTCAATTTAACAAAGCTTAAAAGTTCCAAAAATACCACATCAATCAAAAACAGAGTATTAAGCCTAGTATTAAGTCACAATCAGACCACAAACGCCGCAGTTTCTAGAAAAACAGAGAATACCGTGGAAAAAGACATTTTATTTGATACAATACATTTTGATCTGGCCAGATTGGAATTAAGTCACAGAGTAAACAAAGCTTGTAAAATAAATGACTAAACCATGCACACTCAAAAACTGTTAAATCAAATAATGACAAATTGCATTAAGGAGTTATTGACTGGAAGAAAAAAGGCCAGGCAATGCATTAAAATTACTAATAATCTGCAGGCTACAGATCTATACACAACTAATATTAGATTATTGAGAAAGGCAACTTAGAGAGGAATATAAATGTAAAATGAGGGCACATCTTTAAAACAGAAATTGATAACAAGCAAGTCAAAATCATCATGTACGACTGCTCAAATTATAAACCCACTGCACTTCTTTTTACAACAACAATCTATGCCAATTTGACAACATGAACAAAGGAACTAGAAATATGCCCCTTAACCACCTTAAGATAACTAACCACAATTCAGGTAGGAAGTCATATGAACTACATACAAGAGTATCTCTGTCTTTCAATAAAAAAAATTGTCGTTTTCTGTTAAGATTTCATGTACCTGTAAAACATGCCAGTTTTACACTAGTGCTACTCCTACTTGTATAAGACAAAGAGGAAGATTTAATTACGATTACTATAACCCATAATCATAACATTTCTCCTTTTTTTATCAGAACGAAGATTCTCTTTTCTGCGTTTGCTTTACTTAGTGCCGATACACCAGTGTCTATCAGGCAGGCACAATCATTAATATGACACTGGGGCATTAAACATTTAATGAAAAACAAAAACCCAAAAGTACATTCTAAGAGGTTCAAGATATCATACCTTTCAGTAGATAAAATGTGCATGAGTTTCAGGAGAAATTCGCTGAACATCTGAGGGCATGTTGAAGAAAGGTGCACTTGAAGCCTGGTAAGAAATTCTTGCATAGCTTGGGTAGCTGTGGGCCCAACCTACAATCAGACAGGCACACATTAGTGCATGAATTCTCAGTTAAAGAGCTCAGAAGTTTAGTTATGGAAGACAACTCACAATAACAGAAAAGCAGCATTCTTTACATTTCCATTCACAGATTTACAGGACAGACAATACGATTCAGTCAAGTGGCCTCATTAGAATATAAGTACAATAAACTCCAACCTGTGAGCTGTGCTGACTGGTTCCATGAGGGCTTGTCCCCGACAGGAATCTCACAAGAACATGAAGAAGATTGGGATCCGACACCATCAGCTGAGCAGTGCTTTCATGGGCACCCATTGCATTGTTTGGAACAGCTTGAATAAAAAAACACAATGTCTTGATGCATGCACAAATACAGAGGGGGGCGATTCGACTGTCCCTCACAATCTTATTTATAGCAGAATTCTTTAGCTGTGAATGACTGGAAATAAGATTAAAGTAGACAACAGATATAAACAACTAGTCTCAGTGCAAAAGAAATTGAATACGAATACTAGGGTTCTTTTTTTAAACACTCACCACTGAGCTGCATATTGGTCATGAGTGTGAGACTATGAAGCACAAGGCACCAGGTCCTTAATGAAGTGTTGGGGTACCAGGCCAGGACAGTCAAAAAGCTGGAGATAGAAGCTGTGGAACAAGCAAAAAAAAAAACATGTGTCCCAGCTGATCAATGCATTATACTATATCCACAGCATCTTTAACTGTACTGACAAATACGAAAACTTAGCAGTCCTACTGAGAGGAAAAGAAAAAGGACCACTCATCTAACAACTACCTTATCAGTCTGAGACCTTGAAACCGAACCGTCTTAAGCTAAACAACTCAATCACCGTCTCGCAGTAAGATGCATAAAGGAGATCTGTTCCACAGAGCGACAGTCCTGCCCCTCCCTCATTCAGTCCTTGATCGGGCTCACCTTGATTCAGTGGGATGGTGGGCACCCTGCTGGCATTAAACAAGAAGACATCCGAGCCATTCTCTTCACTCCCTGCGGAGCCAGAGTTCATGCTCAAAGTGAGCCACAGCTGCAGCAGAGACTCCAGCTGACGAGAGAGAGGGATTCGCAGATGGTAAAAGAAAAAGTAACAGAATTTCTCCTACTGAAAATATTTTTTAGAGAAAAAGATAGTTATTGTTGCAAGTATGTTCAGTCTCCCATTGTGTTGAAGCAAAAACCGATGTGACAATGCGTTTGTTTTGTTTATCTGCTATTTATCTACTATAAAAATAAATGTCACGTACACTAGGTAAATTACTGATCGCGATCAAACCGTAGCTTCTTTATCCTTATTCTATTTTTCAGAAGTACACGCAGCTGGTGATAATCACGGGACGTGCAACCATAAATGCAGCAGCAGTCAAATCTACTCGACCGACAACCTGGATTCAGTAACCACAGGAAACTCATGTCTCATATAAACTGTATTAAGTGCTAAGCTTTCTTACGGAACCTGTGACCACAATAGTTTTATACCAGAATGATTCAACCGAGGGCATAAGCCACTGTCGCTTATGGGGAAGAAACACTGCTGGCGGAGCTGAAAACCAAGAGAAAAATCGTGAAGAGGCAGTCCTAACCTTAGATGACAGAATTAAAATTGATGAACTTGGGATGGCTAATAGCACGGAAAATTAAAAGTATTAAGATTAAGTATGTCATAGGTTGTCAATTCATTCATAAATTATACAAGGTACCTCCAGGGGCAACTGGCAACAAATAGGATGAGATTTAGATGAGTGATTGTATTAAAGCTCTAAATATTTGGGAATTTTGGAAGCCTCCCACTTGCTACAACTTAATTACTATGAACCCTTTTAACACCCCTTGAAAGAAATGCCAGAAAGGTAGTTAAAGAGGAGCAGTGGAAATATTTCTACCTGAAAGCAAAACTGATTTATGGGGTCTTTTTATTACAATCTGTCCTTATCCTCTCCAATATATTAAACATTAATTGCTGTAAATGAGTACGGAAATCCTGGAACATGCAAGTTATGACTACCGTGATTATATTAGAAATTTCAAATTAGGCTGTAGATCTACAGTTTCCTTGACTTTTCCTTGAAAAAGCTGGATCTTTTTGTCTTGTAGAGGAATTACCACTCGGAAATATTAATAGGCATTTATGTAACTAAGTTATTCAAAAATTAATAATTTTGAAATTGGAATCCAGTGCTCTTTAGGGCATGTAAAATACAGTATATGTACTGTATAGTGAGAGAAACAGAACACTGGAACTATGGACACCGCCTGACTTTAATCTGGCTCTATATAGATCTTAAACTTAAATACATACAGAATGTAAAGGAGAAGCAGGTTGTTACTACAGTGCGGTAGGGGAAGCCGTCCTTCAGATGAGATGTTAAACTACTGGGTCATTAAAGATCTCAGTACTCTTCATAACGGACATCTTTGCTAAATTCCACCCTGGGTCTTAAAGTAGTAGATGAGACAAGTTGTCAGTTCTGCCGAACTACTCCCTGCAGGTGTGGGGCTGCTGTCGGCATCACTGAGGGAGGTTCCACACTTCAGGGAGGGTGAAGTGGCTCCATTCCTACATATAAAACCCTTCAGGATCCATCCATCCCTTTTCAAACGGATGTAGCCCCCACAAACAGGGAAGCAGATAGCATCCCAGGTCCAGAATTGAATCCAGGGTCTAAGCACTCTGTGCAATGCTGACCACCACTGTAGCATCCTTTGGGATGAAAAGTTTTATACAAGTGCTGGAAGGGATTACTAGACGGACTTCCACTTTGCTCTAGCAGGTTAACAAATCTCGGACTTCCACTTTGCTCTAGCAGGTTAACAAATCCCATGTGCTCCATTACAAATGATCACAAGTATCGCAGTCTCAGTGGAGTAAACCAAATATCAGTATCGGACCAGAACAATGTGTTTAGTACACCCCCAAGAATGTACCTCTCTAAAAATGCAAGCTCAGGGTTTTTCACTTGTGAAAGAGACTGCTGAGCCAAACCAAGACTGGGGGGTTTTGTATCTGCCTCCTGCGGACACCGATCGCCTGCGTGGGCCGTACCTGCACGTGATGCACCTGCAGCATGGAGAAGAGCTTGTTGAAGCAGGCGCTCAGCATGGGCACGGAGGAGGACTGCACGGGCAGCTGGCCGGCCTGGCTCGAGGCGTGCAGCCCTCTCAGCAAAGAGTCGTCCGTTCCATTGTTGGACTGAGCCACTGGGGAGGAGAACAAGTTTCACGTGATCCGTGCCGCTGCCTGCCAAGTCCAACCTTCACCTGCTGTGCACCGTTTCACAGTTTTAGTATTTTTCCCCACAGAGACTGGCTACTAGTTCGCGCAAATGTATGCATACAACTAAAAAATGTCATAAAGTCTAAACCAAAATGTACAGTTGGTTCATTTTATTTTCTTTAATTTATAATCCTTTTTTACATCAGGTTTAAAGAGCAACGGAAACCTATTTCATACAATAATACTTCATGAGACCTTTCTTCAGACTGTAGCCCGCAAAGTGACAAACCCAAGAAACAGTACAAGACAACTCCAACAACAACAAAGATACAAAGACTCACTACTGAAGCGAGCAGGATGTAACAGCCCGGCTTCGGAAAATAATCCGATAATCGCTGGTGGCCGCACACGCAGCTGTCGTGGGAGGAACGCGCCATGCTGGACAAGCGAACAGAAGCCCCGAGCCCCGTGCGGGGCTGGCATACCTGCCGGGGAAGTGGAGGTCAGGGCCTGCAGCACCGAGTCGGCCTCCAGGGTGGCCATCATCTTCAGCATCAGCTCCGCCTGCTGCTCCAGGCCCACCTCCAGACGGGCGTCCAGCGCTGCCAGAAAGCACACAAGCCCTTGCTAGACACGCCTCCAGCGGCCCAACGGCCCGCGCGGAGGAGACCGTGCCGGCGGAGACGCGCGAGAGCGCCAATACCTTGAGACACGGAGACGGACAGGCTTTGCGACCCAGGCTTCTCGGCGACCGCGGGCGGCTTGGACACGGGGATACCCACCCCTCCGATGTAAGGATTGTAGCTGTAGGTGCCGTAGTCAGCACCCCAGTAGTCATACCAGGTACTGCTTATAGGCTTTTGCAAAGAATACAGAGATATTAGTGACATTTTTAGATCTGCTGCTTTCTTTACAGCAGTTACTGTACTAGTGATGGCAGACAGGGAGGTCCCAAAGAAACGGCAACGCCATTCTTTATGAACAGCGATGTTCAGGGAGGCAGACATCCACAGTCCAACATGCTTTTTACTCCTCCTTCAGACTGCAAAGTGTCAAACCAGCCACAAAATGCTGTTTTTTAATAAAGGAGCAGAAAATAGGCTTAGCAGAACTGCTGACAAATTCTTAGTTATGTGTCAGCACTACTACTAAGTGGAATTGCTACAAAATTAACTAATAAGGACACTTTGAAGTTTATCCCTACAATGCATTTGTGACCAAGACCTAAACTACGGGGTGTAAATAATCATATATATAAAGTTTTACAGAAGGTTCTGTAAGGAACAAGGTAAGGAAAAGGGTCTTACAAGAAACAAAATAATTCTAACATTAGCCTAGACAAATCTTTACTTAAGGTCACAGCAGCATGAACAAGCAAGTTTCACGCATATAAAACAAGAATCCTGACTACAGTATGGCTATAATAATACCTGTAATAATTCATAATTCATGCAAAGAAGAAAAAACAATTTGAAAAAGCCATGCATACCATACCTTAAAGACTTTGGCAGCGAGGGGATCTTTTTCCAAATCAATATCTAAAGGATCAATATCAACATCCATGAGGTCTTGTAGCAAGTCAAAGTCTATGTCTTTATCTTTTTCCAAAGATGATAGAGGTGGAGCACCTTTGGATAACGAAAACAGCTTTAATATTGCCAAGCAAGCACACTTTTGCAGCACAGTAATAAGCTATTTAGGGTGTACTAGGCAATTTTAAGGCCGTAGATGTTAACACTTGTAGAGGGTTGGGAGGTCCCAGTACTGTTTATGTTCCACTTCCTGTTGCCAGTAATCTACAAGTTTTTATTCTCTACTGATTTAACAAATGTAATTTCTATTAAAAACGAGTGATTACTGATTTGAAATTATACACACTGATAACTTTTGAAGACAACTGTTAAGCAAGCCTTTTAGAATCCAGACAAATCCTGCAACTGGGCAGACTGTCTTAATTAAGGAATGCTTTTGCAACACTTTTTATACACAAAGGGAAAAAAGACTTCAGGGCCAACAGGATTTCAGACAATCCCCCCATTCTCCACACAGGAATATTTTAAGCAGCACATAAAACAGTAATTAAAACAGATTGGGAAACCGTTGTTTTGTCAGAACGTTTCTCTTCGAGCAAAGCTTTACTGCCAAACATGCACTTTTTATAGTATAATAAATACCATAATTGGAAACAAAGAGTTTAAAACTCGGTGTAGGGGGTCCTGAGTGGCCAAGCGGTACAGGCGCTGGCCCAAGTGCAGTTTGAGCAAGGCATCGTGGCTTCAAGCCTGGGTCACGTCACTAGCCAATGGGGACTGGGATTCCCCAAGCAGTGGGGCACGATTGGCTGAGAGCCGCTAAGAGTAAACTGGGATTAGATAGCCGGGGCACAGAGCTCTAAACAGTGTCCCCCGAGGCCTCCCAGGGGGCCTGCAGTGCTGTCAGGAAGGAACTCGCTGCTTCACCTCCAGTCGACACTGAACCACTGCCTCTTCTTCCCCGAGTGCGGTTGTGAGATTCCTAACCTTGTGCCAATACATCCGACCATTCATAATTGCGCAGTGAGTCAAAAATAGTAACTAAAAAGCACTGTATTGATTTTTTAAAAATATACCTCATAGAATACTCAGATTTCATTAATTTGTTTAGGATGCTTGAACAGCTACATACTTTGGCCTTCAAGAAAAAGAAAAGTCACATCTTATTAAAACATAACAGAATTTCCTAGACACCTGACATGCTCACATGCTGCAAACGTCTCAAACTGAAACCGTAGTTGGCAAGCGCTTCAGGAAACTTGTACTTTTTGTTGAGAAAATGAAAGTAACTCCTAATCTTAAAATACTACCTATCAAACTGGTGGTGACTCCCTCGATAATTCAAATAACAAGCTATTTGGTGTGAAGGATGTCCTTGGGGTACCTGAGATGATATCCGGAGCGAGGGCCTCGTCGATCGTCTCCACCAGCGGGATGGCCGTGGGCTGCTGCAGGGAGTCGTCCGAGTCGCCCGCGGACGCCCCAGTCTCCTCCCCAATGGCCCCATCCTCCATCACCTCCACAGACACGGGGGACATCAGCTCCCCTGAGGGGCCACAACAGGATCAACATCACGGCCAAGCTACCGGGAAACTGCACAGCGCTGTGCCCTTCCCCAAGACTGCGAGGCAGGGATGTCAACTTTTTTTTTTTTTACTGGTGGCCAGATAGAGAAGAAACTGTGGAGCAGCGGGCCACAGGCCAGCTCCAATAATAAAAATAAACTTGGTGGAAAAGTATTCATTTTGCCGGTGTGGCTGGAATCTCCTGCATGCAATGTCAATTTTTCATTTCCTTGGTTCCGCCATTTTCAAAAGCTTGCTGACGTTAATGTACAGAATTCAAGTTCTGAAGAGGGTAAAGAGGAGGAGAGGGGGTAGCTAATCAGGTTTGAGATGTGATTTTACGTGATGGCGGCTCCCAGTGTTCACAATAGGAACTGCACTTTTTACTTACTAATCGGGCCAAATCTAATCATAGTTCTAAATTAGCTCACGGGCCGCTTCAGAAACAGTGGCGGGTTGCAATTGGCCCACAGGCCGTAGTTTGGACACCCCTGCTGTACGGTAATGCCATTGCACAATAACTCAACATCAGTTCCACCACAGCTCAAGAGATCACAAAGAGCCGCAGAAGGAAAAGGTCCAGATCACAACGCTCAAGAAAACGGAGTGGAGTTTTAAAAGGCGTTTGGTGGGGCGTACCTGCCAGAATGTCCTGCACCATGCAGGTGAGCGAGTACTGGGCCCAGGCGCCCCCCCACGAGATGTCACCTCTGTTGAAGTCCGTTCCCACCAGCAGCAGCAGGAGCCTCTCCAGCTGCTGCTCGCTGACCACCTCACACAGGTGGATGGTGGGCCGGGTGGCGTTGGCAATCCTGGCCAGCACCTGCACAGTCACAGACAAACACACACAACACTGGGACTTGAGCCACCCTGCAGGCCTATATCAATCAACAAGGATTATTTAAATTATAAAAAGTGCAGGGCAGGAAGCCTCATACCTGCAATTATTGGGACCATCACTTGTGCAATTATAGAATAATACAGAATTGTACTATATAAACATTCATTATGAAAGGTCATATACTACACTCATTTCATTTCATTTAAATGAATGAAGTGAAAGCAACCGAAACAAGCCCAAAAAAATATATTAAGTATAAATGAAGCAAAATTTGAAACTGCTTCATGAAATTTACTGCACGCGATATAGGAGCTCTATTACAAAACTGAAAAGGCCAATACTGAGTCATGCACAACACAAACTATACTGCCTTCTGATCTTCATAACGGAGGGCCCACCTCTGTGTGCAGGACGTCACAACTTACAAACGTGCCACGTAACAAAACGTATGAGAGTCTGTTGTTTGTAACTTGCGACGTATTTTCCCATAAAAACAATATGATAAATGGTGGTTAGGTTCCCACTGATTAGCCTGATCCACAAAGCCAGTTCAAGCTATAATGCAGCAGAAGGTCGAAGACTGCACTCACGCCTATCATTCGTGGTGTGGGTTTTCTGGACCAGCCATGGAAAGGGCACACACTGCTTTCACTTGGAAGGCAACCAAGAAGAAAGCTGGAAGCAGGTGGTATGCCATGCCACCGCAAACAGCTCCCAAGAGCAATGACTTGTTCTCTTGTATGTATCGATTATTAAAACAACTAATGGAGATTTGTTCTTCTGTACTGATGTTTGAAAGTCAGACAACTTGAGGAGTTTTGCCTTTTGATTTGCCGATGTCTATGCGGATGCAGACCCTGCACCTGTTAGGCCATCTTTGCAACTTTTTTTTCTAATTTAAACGGTCTAATTTGATGCTATGTCAGCAGTAAAAAAAATAATAATTTTCTTTTTCCTTGCTGCACTTTAAGACATATGTTTCTTTTAGGTTTCACAAGTCTCAAAGTAAAATGAAAGTGAAACCCTTTGATAATTCATGTACAACTTGCCAACTAGAAGAAAAAGTCACATCTCACTAAGAGAAGTTTATATACATGGCAAACACCGCAATTGCTTGAACCTGCAGACAGAGGTGGCTAGATGGAGTGCCGTGTGGCCCTGCACTACACTAGTATAAAATCCTTATGCTGTGTGATCCAGGCACTGTAACCAAGACTTACAAGACGAGTTTCAGGTGGGAGCCTCACATACTAAGCCACCAGAAATTACAGTTCTAGGTAACCAGATATTAATGTTCAATTTCTCTCATTTAACCGAAATGTAAGATTTGAGAATTACTAATCAGATGGAGAGAATTAAACTACTGCAGAGAAGGAAGACTGCGAATAGATGCCGTGGTCGTGAAACGTTTTGCCCCCTTTTGAGGAGACGGGTGTACATCAAGGGTCTGATACAGGGAGAGCAGCGTGAAGGCCGCGCGCCGCCTGCCCAGGGCCTCCTCAGCCAGGGGAGCGCTGACCTTGCAGACGAACAGCAAGAGATCTGCGTGGCAGGTGAAGTCCATGGAGAGCAGGAAGAGGGCCAGTTTCTGCACCACGGAGATGCAGCGCTCGTGCGCCAGGGTGAAAGGCAGAGGCTCGACCTCTGGGGACTCCTTCACTGCAGAGGCCTCGGTGTCGAGCGTGGAACGGGGCCACTCGGCAGTGCGCCGCAGCCGAATCAGGTCCTTAAAGTGCTGCAGATCACAGACACAAGGCAGCGAAACATGTCAGTGACTCGCCTCGCCTACGGCCATACTGTATTTTACTGTTTCATTATCCGATATCTCCTACTGATATCATCATAACATACAACATCATTAATATTACCGAACTTCCAGCACAGCTTGGTAAAAAAAAAATTAAGCGTTTGAAGAGGGTACCCTATAAAAATGTGTTTTAGTCTTTTCCTCCATTTTAATCAATGCAAAACAAGATGTTCCAAGAGTAATCCTCGTCATGCATGTACATGTTCATTCAGTGACTGTATAAGAGAGATGCAGAGAACAATCGCGGTAGGCCTGCGACACATTGACGAGAGTCCTGATCACCTTCGAGGTGGCTTGCTTTAGCTTCGCCTGCTCCACCAACAGTTTGTACGATGACCCCTTGTTGCTCTGGATTTTTTCTTTCTCTATTTGCTCCACTAGGGCTTTCTGTTTCGCTTTCAATAAATTTAGCTGCTGCAAAGAAAAGGGCACTATCAATATTCTGCAAAGTATCAATATTAACAGTTCCATCTCCAGTATTACGACAGTACAAGCATTTTGAAGAAATAAGTATGAGAAACAGTGCCTCTCGTCTTATTAGATGTAAAAAATGTAAACAAAATACAATTTCTGAAGATTTAAAAAATCTTCTATAGAACAAGTAGCTTTTCATTTTCTATTGAAAGGCACAAGAACAGGGGCCTCCTGAGTTACTTGACTGGAGAAAGGTGCTTGACTGAGCGCAAGATGAGGGTTTGATCACGGGTTCGAGCCTGGGTCATGTCACTAGCTGACTGTGACTGTGATTCCCCAAGTGGCAGAGACCAACTGTCAGCCGGGTAGGACTGAGGGTGGTGGTGGGGGTGGAATCAGTCGGCCAGGGTTCTCTAAGTGATGCACTGACCCTTGCAGACTCCAAGGACCTTACAGGAACACAATTCTGTCGGTGTGGGACCCACCTCTCCTGCAATGAGCACTGAATCTCGAGTACAAGGCTGTACGTCAGAGGAGCCTACCCACATTCTCTCCTTCTCGGCATCATGAATAAGAGCAATTATCACAGAACAGCACAGCCGATCAAGATGCAAGAACTCGCCAATCAAAAACGATTGATTAGCCACAGGAAAAGTGTGTGGACAGTAACCTTGTCAGGGAGTAGGGTGGGTAAACTGAAGTGATTATTGCACAAAGAGGCTGTAGATGGGAATTAGGGGTGTGACCTACATAAACCCACAAGCTGAGATGTGGAAAAAAACACCTGGTACTACAAATTTGGTGGGAATAATAAGAATAACAACTGCCAATTCTTAGTATGAAAAAATAAAATGCAGAAAAAATTCAATGCTATAGAGATCCATGCACTTGAGTGGTTTAAACCCAGACATTACCTGTTTATGATGGACGAGCTGCTTCCGGATTTTCCTTGAATATAATCGATCTAAGCTGCTGTTTCCTTTGGTTGATCTGTTTAGGCTCTGAGACTGAAGGCTGTTATTAATAAAGCTCCACTGACTTCCTGTTTGGTGGAAAAAAGAACATTTTTTAAATATAGCGGGGCAGTGCAGAACACAAAACCTTAAAGCTTTGAGGTTCATGATGTACTGTAAAACAATTAAAAAATTACATTCTAGCCAGGAACGAAACAGCGTTTCTCATCTCTCCCCAGAACGACAGTGAATAAAAGCCTTCATTTTAGACCTCAAAAAACTTTTCTAAGCATACTGTTTGCAAAAGAAAAGTGCAAAGCCTGTTCTGCCTTTTTAATAATGTAAAGGCTGAAATAATGAGGAATGCAAAATGTGCAAGAACAGGACACCAATTACCATTTACCCAGAAACCGTTCGACACTGATGCTAACACCTGGAAGAGAAGATTCATCAGAGTAGGAGCAGCAGTCCCAAAGGGAGGGGGTACCTGTTACTACTCGCTCTCTTTCTTTCCCATTGAGGTGCTTCTTGGCAGCAGCTGCTTCGTCTTCCACACTGGCCACATAGTCGAGCAGCCGAGACACAAGCATCACCACCCAGCTGATCATGGGGATGTCCAGGACTCCTGACAAGGAAGCACACACCAGCGCCCCCTGAGTGCTACGCTCATGAAGCGTGACAGCAGAATTCCAACAGCTCGTCTCCGGAACACTTCAGAGTGTCGCTTCCGTCACACCTACCTTCTGTGCGCCTTTGTGCCACAGCTTGTTGCTGGAGTGGGGACAGTAAGCTGTCCAGGAGGTTCAGCAAACCCTCCAGGACCCCACTGTTGCTGAGAGATCTTTGGCCAATGCAGGACAAAAGTATAAATACCCTAAAACACACACACAAAGGAAAAACACAAATATAGTAACAGAGACTCTTCCAGTAATGCAAACTTAAGTCGTCCATCTATAATTTAATGTCTAGACAGGAACACAAACATGATTTTCTTCCGCAAGGTGCTAAATGATAGTAAGGCTTCGTATGTATCATTTTCAGGTTCAGTTTTTAGTATATGCGGCACAAAAAGTACAATTTAGGAAGATGTCTGATAATCTGGAGCAGAGAATTCAGTGCCCTTCATAAGTAATGCGAGCAGCAGATTGGGATAACTTCACCCCTGCCATCTGTGAGAGAAGCGCTCCTCCTCCAGCAGGGCACAGTGGCACAGGGAGCTGAGGAAGTGGCAACTGACGGAGGGTTGTGGCAGGTTAGCACGTTCCCAGCTCAGGAGCCTGACACTTCCCGGGAGCTCGTGCATGGTGAACCGAGGAAAACCTGGCCAAGCCACACCAATAGCATTGCAGAAATACTGCACAACTGATCATCTCCATCGGACGTAGTGTCACAGATCTGCATTCAACTACAAGTCGGTTTCTTTCCTTTCATGGCAAGAAGACAAATTCATAACACACCTGTCCTGAGGGAAGATGAGGAGCTGCTCGGAGTTGTAAAGCTCCTGCAAAACGTTGGAGAGGAACTGGCCCCACCACCGCTCCCCTCCACAGAGCTGCACCAGCAGCAGCCCAGCATGGAGGCGGATCTTTGGGGTGCCGCTGATACACAGGTGCTTGAAGAGCTCCTCGCAGGCCTGGGCGTGGAATGTACTTTGAAGGACTGATGGGACCGAGTGACCTGAGGCAAAGGGAGGACAGAGAGCGTTTCAGTCAAGTTTCTCGTGAGTTCCAGACAGAAACAAGAGAGATCTGCACGGCGCTTAAGACTAACAAAATTCCCTGAAGAAAAACAATTATTTTTACCAGATTTAATATGCCAAAGAAAAGCCCTTCACTTAAAGATGAGGTCATTAAAATTCACTCAACCCAGAATGCTGTGAGCTAAAAAGTGAAAATAATACAAAAATATTTAAATATTTTCAACTAAATAGGCTTAAGAATATTATTTAAGGCACCTGAAGACCTGGAGGCAGAAATGTCTGGTGAAAGTAATTCTAATTCAATTAAATTTTGTATAATTATTTTCATGTACAAGAAATGTATCCACATCCTAGCTTCATTTTGGAGTTGCATATCTGATGGGTTACACAGCAGAATCTGGCGCATCGACTCCACTCAGAACACTGAAAACACCCCCAGGCAACGCACACGCAGACTCGAACTCCGAGACCTAAACCCCCTCACCATTGGAGGTGTGCAGCAGGCTGAGCAGGGTGTCAAGCAGGTACCGGATGATGGTGCGCAGCTGCTCTGTGGAGGAGTTCTGGATGAGCTCTTTGGGATCGTAGGCCTCGGGAAGCACCTTTCTGCTGGCACCGAGAGAGACCCGCAGCCTCTGAACCGCGTGGTGCGCCAGGTTCAGTTGCAGCTGCAGCTGAATACAGTCCTGATACGCCGAGAACACACGCGTGTCTTCCTCCACTGCCTTGTCGGGCTTCCGTAGGAAGTACTGGGCATTATTGGCACTGTTCAGTGGGGGCAGATCAATAATCTGCAACAAGGTCTCCAGCCTGTGACAGGCTAGATTATACCTAATTGGACAAACAAAACATGTGAGCCACCTATACTGATTTTTACATTTCCAAAGAAAAGGCTATAACAACTTGCGGGTAATACTACACAGCCACTACATTGTAAAAAACAGATTTTTCCAAGAACGTCAAACATAAGATGTTATAATTAAAAAGAAAAATCTTAAAGACATCTACAACTTCAGTTTGTCTGCTTAGACTTGTCTTCTTACTATCTTACAAAGAAAAATCACTAAAATGGAATGCATTACATCCAACAACAACCGCCTCATGGTTTGATAGACTATTCATATCTAAACACCTAAGCAACTGTAATCGCCTCATTATTTGAAAACAATATGAAAAATGAGTATACTAGACTAAAGAACCCCTGTCTTCTTCACTTACCTGCACTGTATGTCTTCCTGCAGTGCCACCATCATTGCCAGGTGTTGATCAACATCTGGCTGACTGGCAGAGTCATTCTCGCCTCTTAAAGGATCATGCATTAACTTGAGCTCGCTCTCCCATGGCAAGATATATGTGTGCCCATAGTAAAAGCCCAGAGGGATCTTTGCTCTTGCGTTGGTGCTGCCGTATCGACCAATAACAGTGATCTGGAAGAAACACCAGTCTGAAGTCAAAACCCAAAGCTCTCATTTTTATGCTTCGACTGTATATTTTCTACTTCGTTACATCCTGATTTTTTAAAGTAAAATTAATAATTACTGAGAGGGATCTGTAAAATTCCAAAGCTGTCATGTGTACTTATTTTTTAATACCATGGCAAACATGCCAGTCCAGTCTTCTTACGGGTTAACATTTGCCAGATCGGTGTCTGTAATCCCCCAAAAACCATTGTCCCAAATCCGAACACCACAGCATCCTGCAGTCTTGCCACCAAAACTTTACACTGACACATTCTACACATTGATCCTAGAGGGACAGACGCGCACCTTCATGAACCTGCAGACCGGAGGAGGCAACAGATCGTGCAAAATAAGTGAATGTGTGCTGATGTCAGTAGCCACCACAAGACGCCTCCCATCCACTTCCTCTCCCAGAGTCCAGATGTCGATGGACAAGGAAGCCAAGTCTCCACAAGTGGGGATTAGAACATCGGTGAGGAGGACAGGTCTGCCAAAATCTAATGTCACAAACCGCCGAGCACCTGCAGGCAGTCAGAAGAACATACACAGCTTAGAATCCATCCATCAACAGCAGAACTGGCGGCATTCCTTATTAGTGTGTTTTGCTTTACAGGGGACACAGTAACTGCAGACAGACTACAATGATAATGGCAACAATGATGAGGGATCAGATGATCCCCTCTCTTTTCACATACAACCATGAAGCACTGAGAACAACAAGAGAAGGTCATGACCTTCTTGGCATTTACCAGAGTGCATCCTCTCTATGATGATGGACTGGTGGGGAGGAGGCTGGAGAAAGTGAGAGGCGTGGGAGATCGCAAGTGCCAAGCCACTCCCAATAGGGCTCTGGGGAATCAAGCAAACATTTCATTATTAGACAAAGGATTCATAAAACGAAGAAGTCTTAAAACCACAATAACAGTTACTTTACAATGAATGTAAAAAGCAAAGGCCAAACTGCCTTTAAACCAAAATTTGCTTGAGATGTACAGGCTTCTAAAATCATTTGTCTCTATTAAGAAGAACATTGCGAAAATGGCCAAACCCGTCACCAAGATTTAACTGACAAAGAGCTTCGCCTGACCTACAGAATGTGTTCGCTGCTTTAACGCGAGAAGCTCAGGAGCGGGTCCTGACCCGCGGGGCGGCACTGACCGGCTTGGCCTTGTGCGCGCTCTTGTTGTGCGCGGCCAGGCTGACGGGCGGCGGGTCGATGACCGAGCCGGGGAAGAGCTGCGCCAGCTCCACGCTGATGGCGGCGGACACGGCCTCGTTGGGGGGCGTGAGGGGCGGCGTCATGAACAGGGGGGTGGTTTTGGGGGTGGGCGGGATGACGTCCGAGGGGTGGATGAAGAAGCCGGGGGCGGTGCTGGGAGGCACGGAGTTGTGGATCGGCCCCACCGCGGATGCCGCCGCGGCCGCCGCCGACGTGGTCTGGTGGAGCTTCGCCTCCAGCTTGGCTTTCTGCGGGAGACCAGAGGGGTGACGAGCCTGCTGCCAGCACCAACACAACACACGCACAGCGTCAGCACATGGGAGCTAGGCTGCTGGGCGTTACATGGCTGTGAGGTAGCACTGAGGGGATGAATAAATGTCTCAACTTTCAAAGAAAACAACTACAGCTACGGCTGTAAACAAAACTACAGCTACTTCAGCTTGAAATGAAGTGTTCCTTTCACACACTTCAAAATTCCTTTGGTCACTTCTAAGCACGGTTAAAAAACACTCTACAAACACCTGTAAAGTCACTTTTATCTTGTTTCTCTAAAAACTTCTTCCAATTCAGGGTTGCAGGGTGGCCGGAGTCTATCCTATCAAATAACGGCCACATCGCAGGGAACATGCTGGGCGGGACGCCAGTCCATCACAGGGCACACACACCGACACAAATACACATGCACTCTCACCAGGGCCAGATCTCCCAGAAGCCGATTAACCTACCAGTATGTCTTTGGACTGCGGGAGGAAACCCACATGAACACAGGAAGAACATACAAACTCCTTGCAGTTAGCATCCCCAGGTCCAGACCTGAGCCCAGAGCTACAAGGCAGCAATGCTATGACTGCTCTACAGTCATGTTCAGATGTTGCCCACTGTGAAAGTGAGGCCATTCACCATGCGAGCAAGCAGCAATCTCCTCGTTCCGGGCTCACAGCTGAAGCATGGGTGAGTGTGAGAGAGCGGGGGAGCCCAACCTGCTGCTGCAGCTTGAGGAGCTGCTGCTGTTTCTCCTGCAGGACCTGCAGCTGCTGCTCCGCCGACACCATGGCGTGAGAGAGGGACTGCAGCGCCACCTGGGCCGCCGAGCTGAGAGCCGTCGAGGCCTCGCCCACCGTCCCAGCCGAGAGACCCCCCACTGTCGGGGTCACCCCGAATGTACTCACTGCAAGACAGAGCAACACGCTACTCAGAGCACAGCACTCAAACCACCCCACCTTCTTTGAAAGAAACATTTTAACTAAATAGGCTTAAGAATAAATAAATTTTTTTTTTTGGTTTATCTCAAACACTTCCTAAAAATACAAGACACATTTTTTTTAACTGATACTCCCTGAATTGCATAAACAAAGAAGATTTTTGTTTTGTTGAAACTGTGAAACATTTTCTGGTAAGCACAATAAGTGTACAACCTCCTTCTGAGATTTCTTTACACAAGACAGGAAGGCGATATCCAATAAAGAGCAATACTCTGGAAATAAGGTGAGGATGCATCATCAAACATTCATCAAGCAAAAAAAGCACTGGAAAGTAATGAATTAAGGAAAAAGGGTATATACCGGTAAACATACTTGCATCATCCCTTTCCACCCTAGTACCGTCACTAGTGGAAACGCAAGTAAAGTGGAGAGGCTCGACTTCGAGGAGACCTGTTAGGGCAGTGAAGCTCCCCTCCGCAGCTGCACAGCTGCTAACTTTACCAGTCCCTGCAAAGCACAGACAGTTAAGGCCCAGACCGCGGCAGCCATCGCAACGCAGAGCCCGAGCGGAGCACAAGGGCGGCAAAACCGCAACCGCTACTTATTGGGTCCCTTGTATCCGCTGTCATTTCCACCCAGACTTCTGAAAGGTAAACAGATGACATCCTAAAAGGCTCTACAGCACTGAAACTGCTGATAGCCTTAGGACGCCTCAACACAAGAACATAAGAAAAGATGAGAACAGGTCCCTGTGTCCATCAGGGCTCCTCCAGGACCTGCGCACTGAATGAATACATCACATATCTAAAATACACAGGGTCACCCCCTCCACTAATGTTCTAATAATATTTATCAAGCACATATTTCTAACTATGTTACTGCCTTTTAATCACTGAGTGTAACTTGATTTAACTACTAGGATATACCTTATCGATCCCCAATAAAACTCTGAAGACCTCAATCAGATCCTCCCTCAAGGCTCAGGGAGGGTCTTTTTTGCGCTCTTTGAACTTTTTCCAGTTTTTTTTTAAATATCTTCCTTTTACAAAATAGAGAACAGATTTGTGAGATTTCAATCTTCCTGTAGCAACCTGTCTTGGTTGTAAGCCACTACACCAAGCTTTGCAAATTCTGAAATCCTGAGTCATTTTTCACACAAAGATTGACTGGTAGAGAACCTTGTGAAAGGTCTTCCGAAATTGTTTCCGAGAGCACTACAAGGCACTTGAGTTACATCTCATAAATTATAATATCATTTATAGTCACTGGCCATTATTCACATGTGTTAGCAGGGATCTGGCAACCATTCTTAGCCTGCTGGAAACAGTCACCTAACTTTATAAAACCCAAGTTAGTTAAATTTTACTCAGTTTACATAAGGACATTTTATTGGAATGTGATATTTAGGCTTCCCTATTCAATTAGGAATGCTCTGGAATATCAGTTTCTCAATTAAGGAACACCACTGCAACTACTATACAGATGTTCGTAAGTCATGGCATGCAGTAAGGTCTTAAAGTGTTGAAGTCTTCACTCATTGACAGTGACAGGTCACATATGAAACTTGGTGGGCTGCAGGCCTCTTGGAACAGGAGTGAGTATCACCGGTCTGTTTCAACGAGTCAAAATGTAGTTTATGCAGAGAGCCTCTGGAGCTGCTAAAAGGGACGAAATCCTACTTCTCAGTGCTGTGCGCTGAATATCCACCCAAAGAAACATGATTTAGTTGGACATGTTTTTGAGTTTCACAGTGTACTGCTTGTAAACTACAGATTAGCACCACGTGTGCCAACAGCGGGGGGTCGGTGCAGTCACAGTGAAACAGAACTGTGGGGTCGCTGTGGGCACGAGAGGAACAGCAACGCTACTGCTGTTCTCTAAGGGTAAATCAGAATAATATGACATACCTGAGAGTACATCTGACAAGTCAATCTCATCTGACTGGACACCAATGCTGCTATTGAAGGCATTCTTGCAGGATGAGCCACTAACTTCCAAGTCAAACAGAACTGGATCAAATGGCGAACTGTACAAGCCATATCTGAAAAACAAAAAAAACGCTTTCACAACAGCCCGTGTTAAAACGTTTGGTGGTAAATCATACATCAGAATAAGTTTAGGGCTAGCATGATGAGTATTCTGCTATGTTATACCATTTTCCATTGATATCAAGTTGTTTCTTATGTTAAAACTATTTAAGAGCAGTTTTAGCCATTAGCTTTTTCACATCTGAGAAGTATTCATATAGAATGTGAGAAACATTCATTGTTTTCATTTGTAATAACTTTTCAGAGTGTCTGTCACTTGGAGGATATGCCTAACAATGTGCCAATAAAGGCAAAAACACATTCTGATTTAATGTGTGTAGATTTTCTATAGGCACAGTGGGTACCACTGGAATGCATTTCCAGTTCTCGTGGTCCAACAGGAAGACAGAAAGGAGACACTGACCTAGTCTGGAGTAAAGCTTCTAGAGGCGTCAGTCTGTCCTGGAGCTGTCTGGACACAGCAGTGAGGAGGGAGGCGCAGGCTGTGCTGCAGCCAGCCAGGTCCTCATCCTTCACGTAGTTCAGCAGCACAAAATACCAGAAGACCGACCCTGGGACACACAAGTACACTCCAGTTAGTGTCGGCAGCTTTCCCTCTGTGAGAGCAACACCCTTTCACATTGCTGAAGACAAGCAGGTACATACCACCAGTTGCTGCTGCTGGCAAGTAAGGCATATTGTCCAGCAAAGCCTTCAGCAGAGCAGATCCAAATCCTTGCTGGCTTGGCTCACCCTTTCCATTGCTGTGACAATAATAAAATAAATTGCCTTGTGAAGTACCGGCCCTAGAAATTGTTTTTTTTTTTAAAAAAGCCTTGCAAGGCACAGAGATACTTTGTTTAATCTTAAGACTGAATGTCTTGCTGATGTGCATCAACTTGTACAGACAGAATCACATTCATTCTCCTTCTCTTTTCTGAAACCACTTATCCAAAGTGATATGAAAGATCCATTGGCTGACAAACAATACTGCTCCTACAGAATAAGAAGTCTCAAACTTGAAATGGGAGTAAAAAGTCCACTGAACATGTCCAGCACTATACTGGGTAGAAAAAGAATATTAAAAGCAGCAAACTCCCATTTTACCTTATACAAAGTGCAAGGAACCGGGCACACTTGTGAGCTATACTTCGACCAGCTTCAAAGAAGCAAACTCGTACAATGTCTGTGAGTCGTTTTCTTGTTTTTGTCAGCAGTCCTTCTTTTCCTTGACTCAGACTAAAGGAACAAAGAAAAAAACAACATAAAATCAAGTCAGTTTGTCCCGGGTCAAGATCCTGACAAAAGGCATTGCTGAAAATCATGAAGATTCACCCTCACCTGCATGGCCCATTTGAATAGACTCCAGCCAGCCAGCAGAGTATGTCTAAAACCAGACTGAGAGAGTGCTCTGTGGCTGGGCTCTCCCCCGGCTTCCTGCACAGGCTGTTCAGGAGCTTCTCATGGAACTCGGGGAACTGCAGCATAGCGCACCTCTGAACTCTGGAAGAGAAGAGTAACACCGAAGCTTCACGTGGAGCAAACAAAGTCCCACTTAAGAAATAAAGACTGAACCGGGCTGACTGGATATTTTCACAACACTTATTTTTTGTCACGTGATGACCCCTCAAACTCATTTTTGGTTAGTTCTATCAGGCTGCTACTTCAGGCGTGTGGCTCTTCATTTCATATCACAGCCAAACACTATTTTGCCTTATCAATCCCCCAACAGTACAGGTGACTGTGATCACCAGTTTCAGTCCTATATGCTATAGCTGTATACAGTTGCCCATTTATTTCCAGCAGCAGGTGAATGACATGTTTGAATGACAATATTCTTCTCAACAGAACAGAGCTGTACAAAGTTCACAATAATCACAATTGTGGTTTTTTACATATTTATGGTAAATAATGATAAAAATGTCATTCTGTACTCAAAACAGCAATGATTGTTTTGCAAACACAGGGATCTAGTCGAGATGCAGATACTGCTAACTGGATTTAAACTTTAGCAGTGTAAAGCATGCTTACCTTTCCTTGGGTATGGATGTTTTCTTAAATCTCCGGATAGTGACAGAGACCTCCTGCAGTAAATCACAGCCTCGAAGGTTATCGGGTTTTTTAGCAGTTGGGTTGGGTTCTGTTTTTGAGGTGGATGCCTTTTCCTAGATCAAGCACAAGGAAATGTTAGCAATGTTATATGTATGTATACCGTGTATTCAAATTTCAGAGGCTGCCAATTATGGAGACCTACTGAACCATTAGAAAATTAAGAACAATTCCATAATACACCTCAACTCTTCAGCCAAACTGAATAATTAGGAATTACAAACAAACAGAATTACACCATCCTATTTATACAGAATGACCTGCCAGCCTGTCACCTGACCAGCTGGAGGAAGACTATTGGTCAGATGACCTCTGAACCTAGCTGCCAGCTAGATCATCGTCTGCTGCGTTGAAAGCGAGCAGAGTCTCCGTCACGTGCTGCACCAGAGGGAGAGGTCAAGCTCGTAAACACTTTTGGAAAAAGATTTGTACGCAACAGTCAGTAAGCAGCTGAGCTGCCTTGTGACATATAGAGAAGGCTCTAAGAAAGTATAGTTAGACGCTTAAAGATTTGATTCAGCTTTCCACACAGCAAATAACACACCCTGTTTTCCCTCTCAGCTCCCCCTGTGCTTCTGTTCCCTGAAACCTATTTAAATATCCTTGTATAGCACCTACCTCTCCCCCCAGTACGCCACACGATTAAATAAGCCAAATGGGATTGTGCTATTCAAAGGGCGGATGGTAGCAAAAGGGGAACGACAAATGTAAAATTTAATCAAACAGTCCATGTGAAGAAGCACACCAAAGACTCTCTTAACTTATCTCCTTATTGATGTGTGACACTAAGAGACTAACAGAACTGAACACAACAGAGACAGCACATACCTTGCTAGCCTGGGCTCTCTGCAGAAGTGATGAAAGGGAGTGGGTTTTGCTGCTCTGTGGTTTGGCTGCTGGCATTCTCACAACTGGCCTGGTACTTTCCTCTGCTCCTTTGTCACTCACAGCTTTGATGTGGACCAAAAACGAGCGATACTTTCCCCCTGCCATACCTGAAAGATAAGGGAAGGAAGTCAGTGCATTACAAAATGCAGTTCATTTGAATAAATGGCCCCCAGAAATATTCAGAGTACTTTTAAAACAACAAAGACTTGCCACTACATTTCATGGGTATTTTCTCTAAGTCCCCTTACCTTTTACCAGCTTTGGACTTGTTAAACTTAACATGCCAGCATGCCCAGAAAGGTCCAGGCCACTGGCTAACCACACTGGACCACACAGGATATCTTCCTTGTGATCCTCCAAAAATGAGCAGAGTCTTGAACCTAAGAAATTAAAAGATCAGGTTATCAAAATACCAAATGGAGTTTTGATAGGTCTCAGTTGTACAGCAAGATGTTTTTCAATTAGTAATATGACAGACACCATCTTCCTTTCACAAAAGCAAGAGAAAAGAACTGAAATGTCAATGAAAAGGAGAAGCCATCTCTTCAAGGGCCATCTCTGCAGCACACAGTGATGCCCTGTGATACCTGACCACTCCAGATATGCAGGACTGCAAAGAGTAAACAAAATTCTCTGCTAAGATGAAGCTAGTGCAGTGGACAGAGTGAGCGAGGGTGAAACACGTACAGCTGCTTCCAAAGATACACGTTGCGGAGTCAAAATCATGCGGATCAATAAAAGCAAGAAAACCTGACTGATCCCAAGTGGGACTATTAAAAAAATAAAACTGCTACCATTAAGACAATGACATAAACCTTTTTAGTAAATTATTTCACATTGGTTTCTGCAGGAATGTCGGCAGAGAGTCCCACTCCGTGAGACAATATTTCAACAAGTAGAGATATTTAATAAACATTTAAGAGACACGCCTTTAGGCTGATTCCTGCATGTGGAGAAAAACTCTGCAGATCATGAAGGTGCACAACGGTCTGTAGAACTTGTTTTAAGCTTCTACTGTACTCTTCTTGAAAAAGAGAAAGAGTTCATAATAGTATTTGGATACATTTTGCTGTACTGTAAGACTTGAATGTACCAACTTGGAACCTAGATAAGAACCTGGCTAGCTTTATTGTGAAGTACTGCTCCATAAATATGCATTTGTCTTTACATTTATATTTTTCTGCATACAGAATATGAAAGTACAAGAGTTATTTTAATATAAAGGCTGCATGTTTTAAATCAGGTACCTAAACGCAGGTACTTAGCAATTTAAAACATGTACTTCACCTTTTATAAAACCTAAAATACAGCTGCAATGCATTAAATCTGTGACTTAATTACATGGTGACAGCTTTCAGCTAAGGATAGATGCACAATTATCTTGTCAAAGTATGCAGTCCCAATTTCTCAGTTATTAAATCTCACATTACACAATTACACGTTTTCGAATTGAGCACAAAATCGTGAACTTTGTGAAAGTCGCCATTCAAGCTCCCATGAATTGTCATGTGGTGTGAACCTTCCTGCTCACTAGTCTCCATAATGAATAATGTACTGTAATGTATGAGCTTATAAATACAGGTTGCGCAGCAGACGTTTCACTGCAGAAATGCTCCAACGTGATCTGCATGCAGAGTTAACAAGTAGTATTTGTCTGCAAAACTGCCTCAATATCAAAAGCAATATTTCTATTGGATTAAAAGAGCTGCTTGTTTAAAATGTCATAGGGCCGCACACGTCACTGGGGATTTTGTGATGTAAATTATAGGTTTTACGAGTTACTGTTATTGTGGTTTAAAATGCACTCATCATCGCCGATTCTTTCTAATCCCAAAATATGAAAAGAGCGCTGCAGTACCCCTTTAAAAGCACTGTGCTGGAGTGTGGAAGAGTGCATCATTTGTAAAAGCAGCATTCAGACCAAACCCACAAGCATCTTAAATCTACAAGAGAGTTGTGTACTTTTAGTACACGGATTATCTTCTGATGGGTTCAAAGTGATTTTGTTTAAGAAAATTTTCAGAAATGTATTCAAGAACTCAAAATAGCCAACTCGGTTAAAAGTAGTTCAAACTTGTATTTCTTAACACTTTAGAGCTACTTACATTTTTCATTCTAATACACACAAAAATACATGGATATTTTACTGAAGCGTTACTGAAAAACATTTTTGTGACCTGAGTCTGCAAACAGCAAGGTAGTTCTGTGCCTACAGCCCTCATTTAAAAGATATGGAGCTGGCAGAAGCTAAAGAGAAATCTGGACATAAAGGGTGGGTTTGGGTGATTCTCTTATGTACAGATGAGTTAGACCACCTTGAAACAAAGAATCTCTCAGTTACACGCACAGCGTGAGGACATACACAACACCAGATTTGCTCAAGAGTTCACCTGGAGTTTCCTCGATATCCATGAGCTGGATGTCTTCTGTGAAGTCCGGCAGAAGCGGCCGGCCGTTCCTCTCACCATTGGCATGCAGCGCATGGGTCAAGGGGAACAAGATCTGCCTGTCTACTGCGGACTCTGCAAAACAGTGTGTGCCTTGTCACTCAGCCTCGCAGCAGCACCATACAGTCATCTCTAAAGGCATTCGTCAAGACGAAAAGGAAGATAACAGGCTACGTCTATGCTGTCATGTCTATAATTCTTTATCCATCTCCTACATGACTGAAATAAAGTCAAGGTGCTGTGAATGTTTTGGTAGAAATCTGTTGTAGAATTCTCATGCAGAGATATTTCTGAAAAGCTTATGAACCTGTGACTAAGCTGAACATCTACAGAAATCCTGTTTATTGATCCTTTCCGCTATTAAAACTTTTCCCCTCCGAGTCGTTGCCCTCACTACAAAAATGGAATTACTTACCATTAACTTTGCCCAGTCCTGGAGCCTTGTTCTTCAGCAAAGTGACTTGAATTTGCGGAATGTTTGTGATATTCGAGTTCATGACAAACTTGAAGTCCACATGTCCGACCATGCATGCTTTTGGCAAGACTAGTTCGAAGACGTGTTCATCCCAACTAGAGCTGGCAGGGGAAAAAAGGGGGGGAGGGAATTTAACTGCACTCTACTTTAATTCAAGTTTCATTTACATTTCATACAACCTCAAAAATATCTCTAATAATGCTTTAAGAGAGGACAAGAATAATTTCAAAATGAAAGTGTCTGAATGCTGTCAATTATTATCGGCGAGACCTAAAGAAATATCTAGCATTTCCAAACAGACACTATGTTATCACTTACACTGTATTCAACAGTGCTGTCTGGACTTTGTCAATAACTGACAGCAAAATCAACCTACAGAAATGCAGCAGCTTTTCTTCACTGCCATCTATAAGCACACCATAATTAGCAGCTCTGGATACTCACCAGCTCAAATGCAAACAGTTAAATACATTCACAAGAACAATTTTAAATACAAACCGAAAATGGAGGTACACAAAAACTGCAATCACTTTTTTTTTTTTATTCTTCTTCTTCCAACAAAAAATAAAATCCTTTATCAAAAGCTGCAATCTTCACAGTCTAGCGCAGTTGCAACAAAACATTTTCAATGTTCACAATGTTTCTGAATAACTGTACAATAAGAATGCTACCAGCAAAACCCAGAACTACACTCTGAAATCATGGAGGTTTATGATAGGACAGACATCAGATTAAAATATTGTGGACAGAGTTATACTCTGATCAAAACACAGGATGAGGAGTTTTGTTTCTTTTCAGCATTTCTCATATAATGCCCTGTCCTTATGGAGCTGCTACTGACATCTGGAAATTTACAGAGATTTCTAGCAAATTCTTTTCACCACCATAATTGACCACGCTGTGAAGAAACAGGGAAGCTTCTGCGGCTCAAACCTTAAACGTGCTCTAACAGAGCAGAGGCTGTGGCTTATAGTCCCACACACTAATAGTTTTAAACCTGGGCCCTGTCTTTAGTGCTTTCGCGGAGCGCTTGTTGGCCAGGATGGCCAACTTATTTCTACTTGGTAAAGTCCTGAGAGGCCAGAATGTGTCCTCAGAAACAAGACTCATGCCCCTTCCTTTGCCTGCCCCATGGGACACACAACAAAACAGACGTCCATGACAGAGGAGTTCAATTCAGAGGAAAGCACACACTACCCCGTCCTTGCTATTCTAAGCACTGCACTGGCGAGACAAGCGCCTCTCCCACACACCCCTCCCCAGAGAGTTAAAGAGCCACACTTCCTGCTCTCCCGCGCGCGCGGGGCCCGTACCTGTCGCTCTGCAGCTTCCAGGTGCGCGTGTGCTGGGCCGCGTCGCCGTGGTGCTGCTGGTGCAGGTGCTGGGGGTGCCTGCGCTGCTGCTGCTCCTGCTGCACCTCCACCCAGCAGGGAGGCACGGTGGCGGAGAAGCGCGGGGTCAGCGTCTCGAAGCGCGTCAGCTCCACCAGCGACGTCAGCGTCTCCGCGCTGAACGCCTGGTCCGCCAGGAGATCCACGCCTGCGGGAGACCGCGCACAACACGGCCTTACTGCCTGCGCTGCCTTCCCCAACCCCCACCGCCGCCTGGCGGTGAGAGAGGGGGCTTCTGTTCCTGCCCCGCCCGCGGCTGCAGCTCCAGCAGGTCACGGCGTGACACGGCCCTCGCAGGTCTCATCACTAACGAGGATGAGACCGCGTACTGCAGGGAGGGGAGTCGCCTGCTATCACGGCTGCTCACAACCACTGGAGATGAACACCCTCAGAACAGTGGAAATGGCGGCTGATTTCCGAAAACACTCCCCCAAAACTCCCTGGTAATCAGTGATGTGGCTGTGGGAGTGGTGGAGTTATAATCTCTACTACCTTTAAATGGCAGATAAATATCACCAGTATCACAAACGAAGGACAGCAAAGAACATACTTTTTGTGCCAACAGAGGTGTATCTGTACCAATTGTGATCCAGCTTTACAGAGCCATTATTGAGGGTATTCTGACTCTAAAACGGTTTGTTTGGTTTGGCAACACATCTGCCTGCTCCACAGGCAAACTGGAGTGTGCTCTTCACTCTGGGGAGAGGGGTCTTTGACTGTCATCTGCCCTCCATTCACAACCTGTGCAGCTCCAGAGTATGAGGCCTGGAAGACTGCTGATGACTCCTCCCTCCCAGGCTGCCACCTGTTTCGTAAACCACCGGTCTAGTAAAACCAGAAGCAACAGGTATTTTAACAGCTTCTTTCCTAGGGCTGTCTTTTGCTTAACCAGAACATTTATATGTGCACAGTTCTCTTGTCCCGATTCTGATTAAGAAAACCAAAGACTGTAGCGCCAAGCCAACGTACTGTACCAGCTGTGCAGCTGTTTTCAGAAGCAGCGCTGCGGGACCCTCACCTGTGATGCCTGGACTGGAAGGGTTGGAGGACGGCCGGTTGCCTTCAGGCAGCTGCTCCGTCCCTTTAGAAAGGGGGCCGTCTACAAACATGTCAGTCTCATCTATGTCATCACACACATCTCCAATCTGAAGGAAATGAAGTTCTCCACCTGGGAAACAAGAGGTAATTAAGCCCTTAAAAAATTAACAAACTCTTAACTTCAATGACTTGACTCATCCCCAGATGTTCAACGTGCTCATGTCTGACAAGCAGGACACCTGTGGCATAATTGTCATCTCACAAGAAAACCAGTGATAAACAAGCAGAATGAGGGTCAGGATGTGTCTGAATAAAGGAGAGACCATCTGAGGTGTTCCTCCAGTGCACCAAAACACAGAGACATTGTTCTCTGGATAAGTGGGTCATACTGACTTCTCAGTTTGTCTTTCTTGATTTTCACCAGGCTTGAGGAGATTTTCACCTGTCAAATGTCATCACCTCTCTCACTAATGAGGTGATTCAGTGCTTGTGCAGCAGTGAAAGTCACCCAAGAGTATCGCAATCAGACATGAGTATTGAAGTACCAGGAAATATTTAATCAATGTCAGAAACATACTCATACTTCAAAAAACATGTTCAGAGCGGCAAGTTTTTAAATGCTTGTTATGTATTTATCTTTTTCTAACATTTAGAAAGAGCTAATAAAGGTAGAAAACACCTGGCAGAAACTCGCTTTCAACTTCTTCTTACCTTGGCACATAAAAGTCCCGCTTTTCTGCTACTACTGAGCTTGCACAATCGTGCACAGTCAATTTTATTATGCCCTACAGGGGCAGGAGGATACTCAATTTAGAAAAAGTGAAGATTTGCAGGGTTGGAAAAGGTGTCAAACTGCAACTTCAGAGACAATGTGGATTGGAGTGCTGTGGGGTATTTCTGATTTATAATCTCAAAAGCACAGTTTTTGAACTGATGAAGCTATATCCTTGCTACATTTCAGGAGTTGTAGTGTAGCAAAAAAAAGCCTAATTATAAACACGTTATTCTCTGTTGTGACTAACTCCATCCCTGAAACCACAACAACTAACAGATTATAAAGATTCAAGTTGATTTCGCACATGGGATCGAACACAACTTATAAAGACCATCTTCTGAAAGGGACTGCACACAGGAGAAGATGAGAGAGGGGGTAATGGCGATTACAGAACAAGGTGCCTTCAATACGTTTAGGATATCCTGAAAATACCATTTTGGTTTTCATGTTACAGCTGATGTTACCTCTTTGAAAGGGAAAAAAATAAGAACAGTACAGTGCTTTCATACATAGGGAATTTAAGAACTGTCTGCAACTATCCGTTCATGATTTAATGAGACAAACTAGGAAATGAAAATGTTTATATTAATTTCATTATTCACTTAAACCTTGGCACAACCACTCTCTACTTTCTTTCCATAAGAAATAAGACCAAGGAAACTACTCATCCTCTGACATTCTCAGACTCTTTATTCATTACTTACATTACTGTACATTAAACTACACCTATTACACAAATATAATTCTTCTGAAGTCTAATTCTATCAAGCGTTACTGTATTTGAGATTTCAACAGTTAATTAATTTGATTAACACTGTATAAATACTGATTTCCTCAATTGCTACAGTAGGACGTCTATAGAGCGGAGACACTATTTCAGACCACAAGTACGCTCATTAAAAAAAGGTAGAATTCAAAAAAGCAAAAGACTGAAAAACGCTTTCAACATCCCTCTGCTCCACCTCTCCTCTCACGTAGGGAACATCTCTAAACACGTCCACGGATTTGATTTTACACATAAACATATCTAAAATGGCAAAGGGATTAAGCGCAAGTCCGCTCCAGCAGGAAATTTTTTTTATGATTTTGTAAAACACTACAGGAGCAAAACTAGAACAGAAGAATTCAGTTACACTGAAACTAACTAATATAATGAAATACCGCCACTGCTATTGAGGGAAAAATGAACCCTGCGCACAGGGAAGGCCGTTACCTTTTGTACAGGCACAGAGCCTGTCCGTCCCGGAGCAGTAGGTCACGGAGACGAAGGGATCCAGCTCTTCTGTCCCCTCCTTCTTTGGAGGCTCGACTTTGGCCAACACCTCGAGGCTGGACAGTTCCAGGATCATGACGTATCCTCCCCGAGTGGTAACGACCAAGTGCCCCAGGCCGGACACGTCCAGCTTCTTCTCCTTAGCATTCCCGTTCTTGAGGGCGGGGGGCGTCTCCTCGAGGGCCTCCTCGCAGTCGTCCTCCCGGTTATCCAGGATATCGGGCGGAAGCAGAATGAGTGAGGTCACGGCGTCCTTGGGGTCCCGGATGTGCTGGATTTTGACTGGCTGCTCCTCCAGAGTGACGATCCGGGTGGAGTAGTTCATTTTGTACAGTACCAGGTAGCCTCCGCTCACGACCCTCTGCTCGGGCGGGATGATGAGAGGCGTCTGCGTGCTGGTCGGCGACTCCTGCTTCACCATGTTGATACCAGCGCCATTGGCTAAAGCAGGGATGGGGTCAAACTCACCTTTCTTTCTACTGCACATAGCGGAGTTAAGTTTGTTCAGGTTGTTCAAGGCCTCCACTTGATTTATTGCACTGAGGGTCTCCAAAGAACAGGACTGTAGCCCTACCAGCAGGTGGACTCCATCAGTGCAGGGAGTGATGGAGTCAACATACAGGTTTTCCTCCTCCACGAGTTTAGGCAGCCTCAGGCACTGAACCAGTGTCCCTGGCTTGGGTACCATAGAGCTCCACTTATCGGAGTCCATGGTGACCAAGTTTGCAGCATCTGCAAACTGCTGGATATAAGTGACAGGTGGGTCCTGCAGCAGCAGCTGCTCGTGACTGTCAAACTCCATCTCAATGATCTGGGGCACCGTGAAGCCCTCATCGTGCAAGCTCTTGCTCATCAGGTTGTTCATCTGCGTGAAAACCTTACCCGTTTTCTCGTCCGACTCTTTGATGCTGTACAGCAGCAGCACAGGCATAGTCCTCCTCACCAAGGGGGAGCTCAGCTCCGAGTTGCTGCAGGACTCGATCTCAATGGAGCCCGGCTCCGTGCCCTCGCCCTGAGTCCTCAACAGGCCGTCCAGCGGGCGCCGCGAGTTGCCGCTAAGAGGGGAGTTAGCAGCGGACCTGTAGCTCAGGAGCCCCCCAGCCAGGAGGCAAGGGAAGGGAATGTTGTGATGTTCTACGTGCTTCTCCTTCACTTTATCAGTCTTGGCATTAGCCAGGGAAGGGTTAGCACCCAGCTCCTCTAGGTCCTTGACCGTGTCCTCCAGCACATTAGCCACCACCTCCCACTGCAGCTTCTCTGGCTGCTGCAGGATGCTGAGAGCAGTGATGCCCAGGTTCACCTCCATGCTCTCCTTCTGGGCTGCCTGCCCTGTTAGCAGAAGAGGGGAGCAGTGAAGACAAGACACTCTTAGACTTGTGCGAATGAAAAAGACAAAATCCCAAACCAACCAAAAGGCTAAAACATGATCACCCCAGGACTTTCGTAATCTTTACGCAACATGTAGGAACGTGCTATAATCCGACGTTTACAAAACTCTGTGAAGAGTCATTGACATGACAGAAAGGAAGAAAACCTGTCAAATCCTGTCAATCAGGATGTAATCTTCTGTGAGACAGATCAATAATTCTTTATCTCTCTGGGCTAGCTGTGCTCATGCAAAAGGAACGCCTTACAGCCTTACCTGTCACAGATTCTGACCTGGAATGCTCCTCACTGTCTGAGTCTTCCAACTGATCATCACTAGCAAACAAGAATTTAAAATCATTTGTCATTTTTTTAATTTACTATGAAACATCCTGACATAACACAATACATGTTCTAGGTGTTCTACTCTAGCTGTGAGCATAAAACTAAGTTTTTAAAAATCCAAACTATCTAGAAAGGTGCCGATAACTTCGGGTTCGGTGTATCATTAGAAGACTGCAGGTTTCTAAAGCCAAAAAGGCTTTGACTAACACGGAAATGGAAGATTCACCACCTGCACATAATCAAAGAAAAAGTCAAGTAAGCAATTCTACGATTTTTGTTTTGCAACACTGATAAAAGCAATTCATTCACTTACTTCCCACAGATTTCTAGATCCGTTAAACAGCAGTTCTTTAACTTATCTGTTGACACAAACGGTTGTGATCTCCTTACTGCTACTAAATCTTCAGAATGGCTTAACTCTGTTTTAAAGTAATGATAAGAAAGACTTCATAACTTCAAGAGTGACAGGGTGTCCATATCAATTTAAAGAACCACCCTAAGAGGCTTACCTGTCTCCCTCTAGTTTTGGTATATCTGAGCAGGTGGAAGAATTTTCTAGCCAAGCTAAAGTTGGTCTCCGTGACTCTGTCGCAGAGCCTTGTTCACCCCCTGCCAAAATGAGCTGACGCAGAATTGCTGGATCATAAGGGTTTATTTCAAACTTCAAGTGCACCTAAAATCATAAATGCAAGACAGATTAATGACATTTTAGAAAGGGCAAACGAGCTGGTTTAAAAATAAAACATGTAAAAGAAACTGAAATGTTACTATTTTAACAGGTCCATGTTAAGCAGGTGCATAGAGCAAGTAAGCTCACCTTGTACCTATATTTCACGGTGGAAAACTCTAAAGAACAAACACTTCCCACTTCAGAGAACTGGGACGTTACCTTCATGAGCTTGGACACATCCCATATACATATCTTTCCTCTTTTCGTTGCAGCAGCGAGAAAGTGAGGACAGCTCCCAAACCCGAAGCAGGCGATCTTGTCCGAGCCGTCGACGCTGGGGAACTGTGCCGGGCTGGTGGCCAGGGTGACAGACAGCGGGACATTCTGCGTGTGTTCCCCCTTCACGAACGGGCAGTTCGGGGAATGCCGCTCATGTTCCGACCTAGAGAGAGAACTTGATGTCTTGTAAAACAGCTAAAGTTTCTCACTGCAGCCAAAGCGTGTTCCTGGGTCCAGAATCCATTAAAGAGGAAGACCTCCTGAATCTTTTTTATGTATGTAAAGCGGAAGAGAAAATTGTATTCTGGCAGAAAGCTCCCTGCAGCCAGCTTAATTCTTTTTTCTTGTTTTGAAGTGGGTATGTTTAATGCATTCATGTAAAACCTTCTTTACAAAGCCCAGGGGCCTGTAATATTGCAAGTGGTGATTTCTCTGTCATGCGGGTTTGGAGGACAGTTCTGCACTGAAAGCTGCTGCGTTGGACCTCTGGAGAACTTAAGGACTTAGATTACACCCGCGGTGCCCGTCGAACCCTTACTTCTCTACGACTGCAGCCAGTCAGGCAGCAGTTTATTAGAAACCCCCATTCTTCTCCTTAACCCACGCACACAAGGGGCTCTTAACCTTAACTGCAGCTGCACCCCTTTGTCTCTCAAACGATCACAAATGATCTTGCACCCCTTATCAAAAACCGGTGAGATAGGTCAGCTCTTGAAATCTAAGATATACCATAACTACAGAACAAAAGAGAATTATGTATTTATTTTAATTTCACAGTAAAATTAAGAATAGAAGAAAAATCACACTTTCTTAAGTTTACCCTTAAACACCAAGGTTTGACGAATAAAAGTACTGCAGTTGTATGTTCATGGCTGGGCTTGATTGGGGTTTTCAATGATTTATCTTCTAAAACAAATCTGGCCTGTCTCACACCCCCCGAAGAGACACAACGCACCCCCAGGGGGTGTGTGCACCCCAGGTAAAGATGATTTATACACAGCTCCAAAGCATGTTTCTATATCTATTTATTCCTACAGAGCAATATGTAGCTAGTATTCATTAAAAGGATGCTGTGAGGTGTCCGCTGATCGTGTTTAGACTGTTTCAACGTACCAAGGTTCATCTGTGGGCTCCCAGCAGACCAGACAGACACTACAGGTGAAGCACATGGCCCGGTCATCGCCCGTGGAGGCAGGCTAGAAAAGACAGAGAAACACATCAGCGCACTCTATCTCTAAGAAGAACATTAAGGAATAGAAAAGCAAAACACTTACATTTTGTAAACTTTTACATGAGAGAAAAAGGCTCGGGTAAAACCATTTTTATTTCAAGAAAAAGCTATGGAATTCTTAAGTAAGCATAACCAAGTGTGTAACATGGAAGACTTAAGTCATAGAACACGTTGCCTAGGTAATGCAATCCTGCCCATCTGCAGTGAGATGTGGCCCAGCAGTGAATACCCAGAGCTTTGGGACTGTATCCTCTGTGGCCAAGCAAAACCTTTACGGTCGTCTGCTGAAACCTGACTAACGGGCTAATAATCAAGACTTCAAAATCATAAAAGTAACTCAAAGTTAAAAACACACCATACTATTTTTTCCCCAAAGAGAAAACATTGATTGTTGTGTGCTAATACTTTTGGGTGAAGAGCTTGCACTAAAAAAAGTTTTTTTTATACAAGGCCAAATCCTAATTTACAATGAAAGTGAGGGGGTTTAAACAGTAAAACATTCAACAGAAGTTTGCATCAATGGATATTCATAATCAATTAAGCAAAGAATATCTGAAAATCAGACAAAACCACAATCCAAGCACTTCTCCCTACACCTGCAAGCTTCACAAAACAAGCCAATAACACCATCTGTTAAGTACCCTGCATGTGATAAATATTGGGAGAAAACCACACAGTTGGAGTTAAGAGAGCACCAGTTTCATGAAAACCACGAAAACATGTTTTATAGTGGAAGGATGAGGCTGCAGTTCAAAAGTTCATGTAATGGACTAGCTTCTAGTATCTGAACCACAACCAGGAAGAACAGGGATAATGCCATGATTTTGTGGATTAATCTCTCTAAATCCACAGCACTGTCCCGATCTGCTGCTATTTGCTTTCACTTTGATTCCAGTGCAATGGGGTGATTCTGAGACAGGTGGATGGTTAACCCAAGCTTCTACATTTATTTGTTAAGGCATATACTGTATCAGCACTTACTGACCAAAAGAGTAAAGCTATTAGGCAATTAAAAACAAAACTAAGAACTACAATTACAGCTACTGCTACAAAGTACCAAATCTTCAAAGGTCCAGATCTACCCTCAGACACCTGGCTTGCACCAGGAAAGTGACCTTTCAAAGCTCTGAACCTTTGATCACAGCCCTTGTGACTTCCTGAGGACCCAGCTAGAGGCTGAGAATCCACAGGGCATTGGGGAACCTCAGGTGCACCTCATCCAGCATGCCTCAACGAATCCAAAAGCAGTGAAGTAGAGAGGGAAAGGGTCCTTACACTGCCTACCTGGTGGTAAAATCCCGCCTGGGCCATCGGATCTGGCTGAGCCCACCTGTAGCCCACGTGAGGCCACGACGTAAACGTTTCCCTCCTGTTCGCCTCGCTGTACATTAGTGATCTGTAGTGAGGCCAGAGGGGAGGACTTCAGCGTTCAGACGAAGAGCAGAGTATGAAACATAGTGACGTGGGACAGAACCCATCAAAACAAGATGGACATTAAACACTGTAGGCTGAGAGCACATGGAAAATAAATGGGTTTAATATTGATTACGCACAATAATAACATGAGTGGTCCCAAACAACGTTCAAGGGCCACCTTTATAAAATGCCACATCTGAAATGGGGCTCCTGATTTCATCAGAAGCAACCCGCAGTTCCCCCCTCTTTCCCTGCGGCTGGGAACAAACACCTGTTGCTCTCACCTGTCTACGGAGCGCCCGGGGCCCACCCCCAGCTCGGGCCGAGCGCTCGGTAAGAGGTAGGACAGCCTGTCCATGATGGACGAGGCTACAGGCAAGGCAGCAACATTCTGGTTAATCTTCTTCAGCTCGTTCACAATGGCACTGGCAACCGATTTCAGCACATGGTGCGGAAGGTTGAAGGTGACTGTCGCCCACTAGGGACAGAGGGGATGGGAGGAAAGTTATTTCAAACCACATCACTGAATGAAAAGTTATTTCACATCATAATCAAACGTAATAATGGCCTGCGACATTTAACACAGGCACGTGAAGGCCATTAGATTAATGCGCATTAGACAAAACTGCAAGAAATATGAACACATCGGGCACATCAATACACATTTATTGAAAGGATACATTACGGCTCATATGACTTTAGCCAGAACGAACCTTTCTTTGTAAACTAGAACCCTCAGTGCAGGACTTAAACACCAAAATGATATATACGGAAAACTGACTTCACAAAATAGGCAACCCTTTTCAAAACAACCAAACTTCTAACCTGCCTAACTTTAAAAACGCAGTTAAAACACTACTTGTACTTTTTAGGAGGCAATTGTGTGATGATACCCGCACATAAAAAATACCATTATAAAATGTAAAATATATATATCAAACCCGTAGATGACAACTGTCTTAACTAAGTTTAATCTTAAAGTTTTGAGTTCTGCTGGTACCAATGGAAGGTTGTACAGTCAATCAGCCCAACAAACCAGAACCTTGTTACCGTGGACTTATTTCCATGGAGTTTTTTTTAAGTAAGCCATCAAAAAGACTCAGCTTTATTATTCACACTATACTATAAAAAGACACTACACTGTAAAATACTATACTGTAAAAAGGCACTGGATGTGATGTAAAACTCTGTGGTCATTAAAAATCCCGGGGCCTTTCTCGAAAAGAGTAGGGGTGTAAACCCAGTGTCCTGGCCAAATTCTCCATTGGCCTTTACCAATCATGGCCTCCTAATAATCCCTATCTATGAATTGGCTTCATCACTCTGCTCTCCTCCCCACTGAGAGTTGATGTGTGGTGAGTGTTCTGGCGCACTATGGCTGCTGTTGCATCATCCAGGTGGGGCTGCACACTGGTGGTGGTGGAGGGGACCCCATTACCTGTAAAGTACTTTGAGTGGAGTGTCCAGAAAAGCTCTATATAAGTGTAAGCAATTATTATTAATTATTATTATTATTATTATAAATATAATTATTATTTCATCCCATTATGTACAGGATACTTTCTCAATGCCTTTATGTTACACACAAATGCAGCTTTGCATATGCACTGTGTTGCTCACCTTGGCCACTTTGTGATTGGCTGCCGTCTCATGTGAGGTGTTTTTCAGCCCATCTTTAAGCTGCGTAATGAACTGATCATATCCCTCCGTGTTAGATACATCTACCTTCTCCAGACAGGCCGAGAGCACTTGCTGGGCCTAAAGCAAAAAAGGGGAACATTGGTATGACTCCACGTTGCTGGTGAAAGTGAAAAACAACCATAACTGTTAGATCTTAAAAAATGATTACATTTGGATTTCTTCAAATTAAATCAGACATTCGATTTCTTCAGAAAAATTAACCTATTTCCTTATATAAAACTCTTTGGGATTTCGTCCTGAAAGCCAAACCGACTGGTTTCTGTGCCACACCCTCTTAGAGAAGGTCCAGCTCAAATACCAAGAATCCCAACAGTGGCACTGTGGCTTGCGTGTCTTCTGCCACCGCTGAGGCAGGCGCCCCGTGTCCCTGTGCCTCTGCTGTGAGCACACTGGGTCTCGCGGTGCAGAAAGGGGCAGATGGCTTGCCAATAAGGCCTGTCGAGGGCACACCTGCAGCGCTGGCATCCCCCCGGTCCTGGCACAAGAGCCGGAGCTGTGTGCTCACTAAGCACTGCCAGCTTCAGATTGAGGGGGGAAAACAGGCGGAAATTTTACACTGCAGTCGCCGCCACACACTACGCCGAAAGAAAACAAACTTCTTCCGAAACTAAGAGATTTTACAACAAAGTATAAACATCTCACTCAAATAATGAAGAATACGGAACACTCTGAAGAAGGGGAGACAAAGCCCAAGGGTTTGCACAGCTAGTTTAACATTCAATGCCCCTCTCCTAACTGAAAAATCACTTTTGATTTTAACAAAGCATCAGTCAACTTTTCCCAGATCATTAAAATAAGACGTGAAATGCCAAAACACAAAAACAATGAATGTTTAGTTTTGGTAGTTGTTAGTGATGTCTTTTTAGTTAACTACTTTAATGGAGGAAAAAAAACAAATATATTATTTTTTTGTAATTACCGGTCCCCATAATGAGTGCCCAGAGCTGTAGGGGAAAAAAAAGCCTGACATCCTACTAGTACAAAATTTCTGCTCTGGGGAAATGATTTCACACATCTGTGAGGCGAAGACCCTCTAAACTGGACACTTTTAGGGCAGTTTTACGGAGCCTGAAGATAAGGTCAACTCTAGCAGCCAGACTCAGAGGAACTCAGATGTATGCCCACTTCCAGAGCTGCCCTGGCTGTGCTCAAGGCCATGGGGACTGCACTGCAAACACAAGGCAACAGCAGGAGAGAGAGTCCAGCATTGCCACACCCCCAGATCACAAACGGCAGGAAACTATAATAACTAATAAACATCCATCTGTAAACACCTTCAGACCTCAAGTATAAATGCAAGATACTCATTCTGCATGCGAATTAAGATGCATGTCATAATTAAGCATAGAAATGAAAGGAAAGCTCTATGAAAATGACTTTATTTTGGCAGTTTTTACATTTACCAAAGTCAAATTTCAATGTACCTAAAAACCACTTTGTTTACTGAATTGACAGGAAAGACAGTGAAAGAATCGTTTATATCTAGGGAAAGGTCAAAAACTAAACCTTACCAGGCAGGCATATATCCATACCAGTACATTGTCATTTCTTTTGGGAATACTTACATCAAAATGATAAAACAGATCAAAGGTAAATAAGTGTGTTCAACTAATACCCTCATAACAATTAGAAATTGGCTCATGTCGCTATATTTGTGTAAGAACTACATCCTTATTCCCCATCATTCACGTTTTGTCAACCCTCATCGCTTCAGACGTTTATGGCTTTGTCGCGGCTCATTCAAAGATGGACATCTATCAGAAAATGTTAAACATTCAGCTTAATAAAGGATTCAAATCTTAATACAAATTTTGAAAAAAGGTCCGAACGCACTGCTGTACAGGTTAGATACCCCAAGCGGGAAAAACGATTCGAAGCCTGTGGAATCTTAGGCTTCCCGAACGCGCCGAAGGAGAGAGGCTCCGGGGATCTCACCTCCGTGACGGGCAGCTCGAGCTGCACCGCGTCTTCCTGCTTGGTGACCGGAGCCTGGAGAGCGGTGTCCAACAGCAAGATCCCATTGAGGTCCTTCCTGCAGCCCACAGCGCAGTCGTCCACAAACAGGACCTTGTCCACCGCAGGGAAGTACTGGCACCTCACCCGTCCTCCTGGGCCACGAAAACACACAGAGTTATTCCAACAGCATTCGGAGCCCTGAGGTCTGTATACCTGACAGGTGGTGAAACACACCAGCTACAAGTACAAACCCATTCTACGTCCAGTGTGGCTTTAATTACCCGCTGGAAGCTGCTAAGTGCAACTTAATCTAATTATACATACACTGACAAAATCATCCATGTTTTAATAACAATACAGAGGACAATCTAACCAAGCACTCGACAGCTTCCAACGAAGATGAGGAGCACACAGCAGCACTTCCTTCCACAGAGAGTCACGGACGTATGGAACTCCTGAACTGAACCACGCTGCTGAAGCAGACTTCTGAGGGATCCTTTAAAAAAGTGCACGACAGATCCCAAGGTCACGAAGCCTCCTGGAGCCAAACGAGCTGAATGGGCAAAAGAGCTTCACTCTTCCCCCTCTAATCTTTCTTATGTTCCGATTTTGTTTTTAATCTGACTTGCAGATCAAAATCTTAATTTCCCTTATAAGCTTTTCATATACTACTGCATGTCTGGACAAAGACAGTTGCTGACACGTACTGAAGCTGTTTATTTTCTACGGACGCACTCAGAAACTCTCGTGGGCCAGCGTGTAACACCCAGTCTCCTTATGTTCGCCATTCCAGGAACCTGACAACCGCAAATCTACTGCGCAAACGCAACATTTAGACATAACTCTATGATCTCATTTAGTTCGATTTATTACCCAGAACAAATGGTAAATGAATCTTTAGCATTTTTTTAATTATTTTGTGAAATTTAATAGTGCATTTGGTTTCTATAAACAAAATCACAAAGCTGTAATGAAAACTTCAGATTATCCTTTGGCCCTTTGGTTTTAAGGATCAAGTTCACCTCTAGATTAGACTTTCGTTTCCAGTCCTAATTATTACATAAGCTAACGTTTTTTAAAGTTACATCAGCCGCATTATGTCACAGTTTCCGTATATTTTGAAGTATGCAAAGCATCAGCAAGGCAGTTATTAAGGTAACAAGGCACCCGCAGGTTTATGCAGACAGATACCCTGAATCTTCCCCTATGTGAAGAGTCTCGACAAGGCTATATAAGAGATGGACGATCGGAGCACAAGCAGTTTCCAGAGCTGTGACAATATGTAATGCTACACATGTGACAAGACTCATATCTGCTTCACGTGCCTCACAGAAGCGCTACTGTACTCCCAAAGAGCAGCGTTCGATTCAGGACTGGGGCACGGGTTGAGCCTCTCTAAAGAACAATACAACACTGTTGCATTACAACGATTACAGGGATGTGGAAGAAGCTACTTATTTCTGTGAAAAAAGGGTTCATCTATTAAAACTGGGAGTAAAGCCTGCATTCCAAATACTGCATTCATGTGGCTTTACTACTCATACCTGCAAGGTCAAAAACTTGTGTTTGCCCAAACTGCTCAGGGCACAGCTTGCTTTAATAAATACTGAAACCCAGCAGCTTGAACAAATAGAATTCCTTTCAAATTTTAGACTAGCTACTACACTATAATGACAACGTAACTGTTCCAATCTGTTTTCTCAATGGCTGTTATGCACCCATCTGTCACACTTTTAAAGAGAAGACCATTCCTGACCATGACCACTGTAGTTTTACCTATTCATCTATTTTCTCATCTCTTTTTCTAGTGCAGGGTCGCAGGGAGCTGGGGCCTATCCCAGCAAGCAACGGGATGGCACGCCCGCGCAGGGCACACACACAGACACACTCACTCCAGGGCCACGTTTCACAGAAGCCCGTTCACCTACCAGTATGGACTGTGGTACTGGAGCACGAGGAGAAAACCAACGGAAACTTAGGGAGACCATACAGACTCCATGCAGAGAGTATCCCAGGTCCAGAATTAAACACAGAGCCCCAGAGCTGCAAGGCAGCAATGTCACCCACTGCACCACCATCGCTGCTCGGCTGTAGTTTTATCTTCCTTGAAATGTCGTTTTTCCATGCTGTTACAGGCAAATTCCAGATGAAATAAAGAACCCAAACATAAGTACTGTATAAAAAAAATCACAAGAACCAACTAAACGTGTGCAGATGTCCGCATTCAATGATTCTATGTTCATAATGATGTATTGTAAACGTGATTTTTGTTCTAAGATGCAACCATACAACAGGTGGAAATACATCACTGGTGAAGTGAACATTTTTCCCCCTTCAGCATGAAGGGGCGAGTGCTGTATGTACCATGTCAGCAAAAAGTTAAATTACTTCATACAGTGAGAAGCTCCAGTTTAAAAGAACAGCATGACAGGTGCACTTCTGTCTGTCTTTTCTGTGCCACATACACTTGCTGTCAGTCTCATCTCTCCCTCACCATCTTGACAAACATGAGACTCTCCGGGACTCAGCAGTGCCAACAGGCCAGTGAACCCATGCAGGCATCCAGAGTGCCCTTAGGTGATGACATTAGTCTGGCATCAGCTCATGCCAAGAGTAACAGCGCTGGCTGAAACCGTGCAGAAAGGTGCACAGTGCAATAGAGACCCAGAGAGATCACATCTTTGGTGAAGCAGTCAGGAATAAATGTGTCTGGGTCCGATTTCAGAAGACTCCTCAATTTTAATCTTCATTTAAAGACAATTTAGATTGCTCAATTGTTTATTTTTATACCTTAAAAGATTTCACCAGCTTAGAATTCACACCTCACTATTACAAAACACATGCTTTTCTTACAAACTGAAAATTCTTACAAAAATATAGATACATACAGACACGTGACTACCTAGGTCTATGTTTAGATATATATTAGAACACCTTCTTTAGGCCAGGCGTGCCTTATAAAGACAGTAACCTCTTACACTTGTTATTCCAGTTTATTATGGGCAGCTGTGAGAAACTCCACCCATACTATTGAGATCCTGTGTTTGAATATTACCTGTTTCTGAAGCCTCCTAAAACAAAGCACAGTACAAGTGATCTAAGCCCAGGTAAAGAACAGTCAAGTTCAAGAACTACACCCAAGGATAGCTATCATTGTACACAGATTAAGGATTCACTCCAGCCCACCTAATTATCATACCACTGTCACTTCTGGAGAGGAAACATAAGGACAGAAGAGCTGATGAATATGTCCTAGATGGTGCTGTATGCCAGTACACATGACAATAAGACTGATATACACGCTGTATATACACCTGAAGAAGGCTCAACGGCCGAAACGCTGTGTTCCCTTTCTTCTTTTTTTCAGCATGAAATAAACCTATTACTTGTTCCTTTGCAGCCTACGCATGCTGACGCAGCTCCCCACCTGAACTACACACTGTATATTTCTACCCATTTGGAGAAAAGAATACACCACATAAGCTGTATATTATTTTAAAATGTCTCGCTTTCATAATTGCAGTACTGACTTTGTTAAATGTTTTCACACACCACAATACCAAAATAAGCCAGTTAGTGTCATCGTGTACAGACACCAATGGCGCAGAGCAGCCTACTACAGCACACACTCATTAAACTATTTGAGAGCTCTATGTGTTTCAGTCTTTATGCTTGATCTTGTCAGGTTTGACAATCTAAACAGAGCAGGGCCTGCTCTGTACTGGGATGGAAGACTGCTAAGGAAAACGGGTGGCTACAGCAAAGTGGTGGTGTTGGCAGGAGCAGAAGCAGGAGTGGTGGTCAAGCACTGGCAGGCAGCACTCTTCCCCCGGCACAGCATTTCAAAACTCAACTTCCCAGGTACTATCCTCTTGGCCACAGGTCCCGATCACTCGGCCATTAAACAAACCGGCACTATTCTGGCTGAATTCCTGGTCCTTAAGGGCTGCCATGTGCCACCCAGGTGGGAGCTACACATCAGCAGTGGATAATGTGGGTTCTGTTCTGTAAGTAAATCGTTTTCGGATCTATATAATTCCTTGCACTTATTACTTTAAAATGTAAAGATAACAAAACTAGAGGCCAGGTATCAGCGCATGGACTGCATTACTTCTCAACTTGATCTCCCTATCGCAGAACACACACTGCCCATGTCTGCCAGGTTCTTCATACTGTCCAGGACAGAAGCTTCTGAGAGGGTATGTTCACCACAGTGCCTCCTCTGGGACCTCATGATTCCAGGGGTCCAAAGATGGAGCTAGATCAAGGGGCACAGAGGTTCAAACAGCAGATGAACTCTGAAGGACTGGGCCTGTCTTATCTCTGTCTACTTCACAAGGCAGGGAGCAACACTGCAACATACAACATTGAGCTACAAGGCCATCTTAAGTCCACTAATCGATCAAAATGATTTAGAGCAATATAAGGTTGTCTGCTACCCTGACAATATCAGACCATACAGTACACGGGCCACCACTGACGCTTTGAACACAAGGCACTCAGACTGTGGGAACTCTTATTCAGAAGAAATGTAATGCAAATATTGCTCAGAGGTTATTGCTTTGCTCTGTAAAATTGTGTTTCGCACCAGAGGTGACAATGCAATTCAAAGAAAGACCTCCAGAAAGGTAAAAACTACATTCCATGGAGTGGGAAGTCAAAGGCAACTTGGATACTTCACATCAGATATCCTGATAATATATACTGTACAGTACATTCACCCTAATGATAGTCATTTATGCTTTCGCATTTCTATGTAATAAAACGCAGGTTACAGGTTACTAATTCTTTTTAAATTAACTTTCAGATTCTCTGATGATTCTGTTTTTACAGCTCTGTAGGTATCGCACAGCGAATCTGCAAAAAAACAGAACTCTCTTCCATTTATGCGGCCGTCACCCACATCACATCAGCAGCTCCAGCACCTACAGCGAACTTTGCTGATCAACGCGACAGTCGATCTGTTCTACCGCACGGCTGCAAACTTTCCCCACACAGGACGCGCTATGTGGGAGTGGGGCTTGTCAGAGCAGTAGTGCACTACCTGACCCCCTCCAAGGTTCACCTGGCTGCACGCAGGAGAGACGGGCCCGAAAATCAAAGACCTGCTACCGAACATCACGGGGCCACACAAACAGCACGAGAGGGCTTTCAAGAGTCCCTGGACCTGAGACAAGAGACAAGAGACAGGAGACAAGAGTGGCACAGTGGCGCAGGGGTCAGGAGAGCCGTTGCCCTGGGTTCAACACCTGGGAAGCTTTCTGTATGGAGTCTGTATGCTCTCCCCATGTCTGTGTGGGTCTCCTCCCACAGCCCAAAGACAGACAAGCAGGTTAATTGACTTCTGGGAGAATTAGCCCTGGTGCGAGTGCGTCTGTCTGCCCTGTTAAAGACCGCCGTCCCGTCTTGCTTCTGTCGCCTGCCAGGACAGGCTCCGGCTGCCCTGCGAGCCGCTACTGGATAAGGCTCAGAGAAAATGGAACGAGGGATGTAATGCAAACCAGTCAAAAATGATACTTGGTTGCCTTCCTATTTATGAAACGTTAAGGAACACTAAGTCAATTGTAAGCATATACAGTGCCTTGCAAGAGTATTCAGACCCTTGACCAATTCTCTCATTTTACTGAATTACAAATCCTACATTGAAATTGAGTTCTCTGTGATATTTTTATTTCAAAGCACTGAAAGTCAAATTAATTAATTAATTTAATGTGACACTGATTTATGTTAGAAAACATTCTTAATAAAAATAAAAAACTCAC